TAGCTGCTTGGCTTAGAGGATAGTCACGTGTGTGTGTGTGTGTGTGTGTGTGTGTGTGTGTGTGTGTGTGTGTGTGCGCGCGCGCGCGTGCACATACATATGTGCGGAGGCCAAAGGTCAACCTCAGGTTCCTTAGTAGCTATTCATGTTGTCTTTTGAGATAGGGTCTCTCACTGAGGCTTGAGGCACTCCAATTCAGCTAGGTTGGGAGGTCAGCTGAGCCTCAGGATTTATGTGTCTGTCTCTCCAGCACTGGGGTTGCAAGGCTGTGCCACCATCCCTGGCTTTTTACATGGGTTCTGGGGATCAAAGCTATGTTTTTCACGCCTGCTGGCACGCACTTTACTGACCAGCTGAGCACCCCACCCCCACCCCCGCCCCCCTCATCATGCCTACACTCTTCTCATAGTGAGAAGTTTGACTTGAGTACAGCATTGGCTTGTGATCACTTGTATTCATGTTTGTTATTGCGAATCTTCCAGTGAGCATGGAAAATGCAGCAGGACTTGGCTCCTTTCTGGGTGTATGCAACACACGCAAGTGTGGGGAGTGTGTCAACTACGTGAGCAGGGACACCGCAGAAGCCATGTCCCAGACTCTAGATAGACCCCACAGCCAACCACAAAGCAGCCCCGGTATCAAGCAAAGCAACAAGCCTGGAGTGCTTCCTCCCCCACCTTTTGATGCAGATGTCAGGCAAGCACATTTGCTGAGCTATGGCACCTACATCACTAAAATCAATTCAGACTTCTATTGGCAGCAGATGGCACAACTGTGTTTGCCCCCCTTTTTCTAAAGCTCAGAAGTTATTTGAAATGTGCATCCAAAAGCAAGTTGAAGTCTGTGATAACCATGGCTGGAGAGGAAGGTTTCCAGGATGGACATCAGGAGCCTGGGACATGCTCTTCCCAGAGAGGGAGGAAGCCACGCCTCTGGTACAGACCTTCGCAGGGGAGGTCTGCAAGGCCTAGCCATGCCCTGGGGTTAAAATCTGGCCATCCTCTTCTTCTACCTTTCATGGTGCTTGTTTCCAAGCTGTTTGGCCTGGAATCTGAGGAGACAACTGCCTTTTCATGTTTTATACATTTTATTCATACATTTCTCCAACTTTGAAATGACGAAAGCCCAAGTCTATGGTTTCCCATTACACAGCATCCTACAGATATGTATAGTCTACAAAGAATACTATGCAGTTTCTTCTTCCCCTGTCACACGAGATAACTGATGAGGGTTCCACTGGTACTGTGCTGGCAGTGCCGCCAGCACTGTGGCTGTTCAGGCGACAGGGCAAAGGGATTGGGATGGGAGGGCGTGTGCTAAGGCATGTAAATAGATACACACAGAGAGAAAGAAAAGCAGGACATTTACAAAGAATCCGAACCTTTCCAACCCCTTCAGCTCCTCTTGCAAGCTAAGGCTTTGCTGTACCCTGCGAATACTTACAATCGGATACGGTGAAATATACAACAACCATTAACATCTCTCTCTTTTTATCACTGAGACAATACTTCAAAACCTTTTATAAAAAGGCAATAATACATACAGAAAGAAAGAACACATTGGCAAAGCTTTAAGCAAAACCACCCCAGAACTGAGTCTGAATGGTAATGCGCCTACACTGTACTGAAACACGATGCTGTGGTCCCAGCACCGCCTGCCTGCAGAGGACATCCCAGGCGACATCAAAGACTGGAAATCAACCCCTACCCCCCAATTCTTGGTCTCTGCCAAACGAAAAATAAAGGCAAGGCCACTCACTGTTGAGGAATGCCTACTTCTACTCTCAAGCACAAGTCCCTCTGCTGAGCTTCTCTCTTGGGTCCAGAAAGCCTCACCCCTGGACCTTACTCTTTCACATGCTATAGAGAATGGATTTAACTCCAAGCAGTAGCAAAGTGCTGAGTTTTTGCCCATACACAGAGCTGGAGTTGTGCTTGGAGGCTAGAAATGAGGTCTCCTGTGTGGCTGCAAACATCTCCTTCCATTTTTTTTTTTTTGCTTGGTCCATTTGCACAGGTTCATTCAAGGGAGTTAATGGAGGGTCAGGTGACAGGTGGTGGACGTCAGGATGCTCTCTCCTATCCCTCTAACAGCTAAGACTCGGGGATGCCTGCCCCAGGGATGGTGCCGCTCTCTCCCCATAACTGCTGCTGCTGTGGGCCAAGGGCACCAACAGGAAGTGTAGATGGGAAGGTTGGGACACTCTTCCTCTTTTCCCCGACTTCCTGGATGGATGTGATAGCTGACCTTCACTCTGTAAGCCAGGCAATCTGAGACTTCCCACAAGTTTAAGGCAAATGGACGTGTGCAGTGCCCAAGCACAGTCAATTACACACTAGGCCTCACAAATATGGTCCTGTGGCCAGAAGTGCCACATAAAGAGGGAGATCCTATGTCTAAAGAGGCCAGAAAAGGGCAAGTGCCTCCAAACAAAAGCAGTGACGAGAAGAGCATGCAGCCCTTCTGAAAGCCAGGCTGAGAAGCAAGGCATCTTTCTAAAGGAACTAAGCAGAGGCGCGAACAAGGAAGATGCACACAGGGGCTTCAGTGGGCCTAGCCATAGACAGCCCTTGTTAGAATAGGCTGAGAACACGCGCTCACTTCGGACAGTCACCACTAGCTGCCCACCAGGTTGCTGACCCGAAACAAGGAGTGACGAAGGCTGCAAGGGACTTGGTTTTGGAATGCTAGTCAGTGTGCCCTCTATTCTTTCTAAGGTGACATTTTTACTAAGAACTCACTAACCAAGCAGTTTTCTCGATAGTGTTAGTGGCAAGCGAAGCTTAATTTTGCCCTGCGTAAGAAACTGACCTGAGATGCTAAAGGAACATCCCATCAGTGTGAAGACAAGAGAATGCTTTGGGCTGCCTCATCCTTAAGGGGCGGGTTCCATTCTGGGTAGTTCCTGCTTCCTGGAGGGTGGCTCAATTTGACTGAACTTTGGCGAAGAATAAACCGGTAGCCTTAATGAAGAGAATCCTGACTGAAAAACAAGAGAACTCTGGGATGAAAAGCTTGAGAAGATAACAGTAGCTTTAAAGGATGGCTTGGCCTGCCTGCTCCAGGCCTTGGATAGTGGGAAGGTGCCTGCTTCCTGCCGTTCTCTGCATGGTGGGGGACCCTGCAGCTTCACTTTTCCTGCCACCAATAGGACCAGCTGGGACTCAGCCTTCTGAATGCAAATAGCAAGAAGTAGGTCAACTGACTTCTTTGCCTTTCTGAGCAGATATCTGAAACCATCTCACCTGACGGGGGTGCATCTAAAAACGTTACGATGTTCTCTCGACACTGGGAAACATCCAGATGAATTAAACTGAGTGACACTTTCCTTTTCAGTGTGCAGATAGGAATACGATGCATGTGAGAAATAATTACTGCCTTGTGACTAGAAAATCAGGCCACTGCATCTTTCAAACAAAGAACACAGGAGATCCAAACACTCCCTCTCCTGTTGTGGCGAGTGGGGATGGGGTGGCAGAGAGGACCTGCCATATGATTCACCTGGCCACTGATTGAGTGATCTCTGATCGTGTGCTTTAGTCTTTAAAAGTGTGTGTGTGCGTGTGCGTGCGTGCGTGTGCGTGCGTGTGCGTGCGTGCGTGCGTGCGTGTGTGTGTGTGTGTGTGTCTGCTGATGAAATGGAGGCAGTCAGGAAGTTTTTAGCAATAGCCTCTGCTTGCACCAGGTACTACTGTACTCCAAGTACTTTGACTTCAGAAGTGTTTCCTCTCTAAGTCATAAACACACTGCTGTAGAGCTGTGCATTAGTGGCAAAGAACAGATCACCTGTGGGGAAATCGCTGCATTCTAGGTGCGGGCTTTTCCCCACCTGCACAAGGGCAGGAAGGATGCCTGCCTGTGCTCTTCTCTCGGAGTCCCCAGAAGGCCAGTGAGAAGCCCCCCAGGCCCCCAAGTGCCAGAGCACTTCTCTCAGTCTGGGGTCACAGACATTTAAGCTGGCCTCACTTTGTGATGCTCACTCTACCTGCAGGAATGCGGTAGATGGCTACAGATAGGCCTTCCCAGCATCTCTGGAGACGTGCTCTCAAGAGCACGTGGGAGCATGAGGGAGTCGACAGAGGGAGGGGACAGCTCTGTTTTCCATGGTTAGTTGTGGTCTTCTTTGTGCTTTACTGGAAGAGGTAGAGCAGGTACCGAGCCGTTGAACAGAGCGGCTTTTGGTCAGTACTACTGCAATAATGGTGTCTGGCCTGGGAACCAGTTAGACCGAGGTCAGTACTACACAGCCCGAAGCAACTCCTGGAGTCTTCTCCCTCCACCTAGCAAGAGCCCACTGTTGAGCCTGTCTCTGGTGTGGTATTTGGTCACCCCACTGTGGGACCAAACACAAGTTATTCTCACAATATCTTGTTGGTAAGTTGTGACCCATCTGGGCACTGACAAAGAATCGTCTACAAACAGAAACCAAATGATATCATGTAATAATAGTTGGGGAGGGTGGGATGTTGAGAATAGAAGAGGAGTATGAGTGCAAACATGCCTTCTCTGTTCAGTGCCCAAGAGGAGCTGCTCAGGCCAGAACTGGTTCTGCACATCCTGCCAAGGCACGAAGTGACGGAGGCCACCTAACCCACGAGCAATGAAAGTGATGATGTGTTTCCAAGGACCAGAGTCATGGCAATGCCTTGTTCTCGCACACAGGAAGGGGGCACACTCGAGTGACCTCTGGCAAAGAGTCTGAGAATCCCAGCCTGAACCTCCTCTAGTGAACTGACAGCATGGCAGGGGATGAGATGGTGCCTGTTTCTAAAACAACAAGGACAGGTGACTCCCCTGTGCCAAGGGATAGAGCAAGAGGAAGGAGAGGCCGCAGGCGGCCCTTCGAGTCAGATGTGCTCCAAGCTGTGCTCTGGCAGGCTGCTTTGTTGCCCTGCCAACTGATACTCATTCCTGGGCCTTTCATGGGTCAGTGAGCATCTATCGAATTTTAAAACTGAAAAGATTACCAGCTTGGAGACCCGAACAAATCTGTAATGAAATGAAGGACCCAAAGGCATTTAATTATTGAACACATACAATGAAGTATATTTAAAAAAAATTGGTCAGACTGTCCTGTTAGTTATCAATTTAAAGGAATTTACAGAGCTGTTATAGATTATTCTTTTGGAATAATTCAGTTTATAGCAAATGCCTAAACTGGTTTCTTCATTGCACAGTATATTCTCTTTAAGTGGGTGCTTAAAACAATTACATACAGATTAAAAATCCGCATTTCTTTGCTTAATTAAAACGTTAATACTCTTAGACAACACAGATCTGAAATGGCGAAACCAGCAATACCCCCTCCCCCTTACAACAAATTAAATTGAGACAAAATTACAAACACATTTCACTACGTGATTATTATTAATAAAAATCAGTTTCTTTTTTTTCTGTTTTATAAAGTTGCCCGAAATGCAAGGGATGTGCATAGGTTTACAACTTAGTCATAATAGCAATTTATTCTTATCCCCTGGGTGTGCCCCGTGAACGGAATGTACTTTGCTGTAATTACAGATTGTTTTGTCCAACACAGACACACCGACAGCATAAACGCTCGCGACTGTCCACATGCATTAAGAGTCAAGACCCAACTTCAAATCTCTAAAAGGTTTACAGGGTGCTTCAAAGAGACAGTATCACAGTATCTCGATGTTACATAAAGGACTTAAAAAAAAAGAGAGAGAAAAAAGGCCTTTAAAAATTTATGACTGTTTTGTAATCACTAGACTAATTATTTCAAATAAATAAAGGAAAGAAAGATATTCCAATCCATAAAATCAGACTCTAAAAAGAATGTAGTGTTCCACCCCCAGTCAAGGTAACAGAATCATTGTTTATTATTATTAAAATAGATTATAGAAAGCAGCATCTATTTTGTGCAGTTTTTAGGGGCCTTGGAAATAAAAAGCTATGATTTCCAAAAATATAACATTCCAAAGGATTGAATAATACATACATTTAAAGATACATTTTATTAAAGTTTAGGAGAACTGATTAAAAAAGATACTGTCTCTTTAAATTAGTGTGTAATTGTTTTTCTCCTCCTATCTATTCGGACATGACAATAATTATAAATGTAGGTCACACTACAACTAGGTAGTCTCTAGGGACCACGACCTGCTGACACAAGGCCGATAACAAAGAGGCTTTTCCATGTAGGAGGCAGCTCCCAGTTTTATACTCAGATAGCCAGGGAGAAGCCTAATAGACCCAGGAGACCGGGACCCACTGTGGGGCTGTGCACACGAGCTCGACAGCTTCCTCCAGATGTCTGATTGTCTCATCAATTTCATTGTTGATAATTGTGAGATCGAAGTAGTGTGCATATGTTCTCTGTAAGACATCGGACTCCTTCTGCAGGCGCTGGAGGGATTCATCCTGCAGAGGGTGGCATGGTGGAGGCAGGTATAGGAGAAGGGAAAAGCAAATATGAGAGAGAAATCAGTTGTAGTCTTTTTACCTTTCAGCTCCTCCTAGTGTCTGAACAGGTCAACACTAAACAACGGTGGAGCACAAGGCCAAGATGGCTGTGTCACAGAGGAGATGATGGTCCCTGTCCTGTGATGACAGGGTCGCAGAACTCCCACTGGCAACTGTGATTGGTTGACATGCAACAGGGGCCACTGTGAAAAATAGACCAAACCGACACTCCAGCAAACTCATGCCCCCACCCAGGCCTCGCTGGGCCTATCTATCCCCAGAGCCACCTGGGGGAGGCCACACAAAGCCTGGGTTTCCAGTGACTACATTTCTTTCGTCACTCCTCTAAGCCAGGGTGGACCAGAGCTACTAGTGTGGCTGATTGAACTCTTAGGCTCCTTCCCTTGGATCTTAAAGTTCATGTGAGCCTCGTGTGTTTGTGCTAACAAGCCTTGTCTTTGCATAACAAATTAAGTTGTAGTTTCCCCCTCCTACTTAAAAGGTTTAGTGTGTTCCAGGAATGGCACATAATAGCCCTCATCTGACAGCAGTCCATGCCAGAGGCAAAGCTTTCTGGATGTTACAAATAATGGCTGGAATAAGCCATTTCCCAAATACAATAGTAACTGAGGAATGCCCCCCCAATTGGTCTGTACTGGAAACAGTCAGGCAAATGTCACTGGTTGCTCGTACTCATGTCTCTTAAGAAAGCGACTCCCAAGCCCTGAACCCTAAGAAGGCTTGCCAAAGGATGACACCTCTGTACACAGCTTGCCTCATACCATCAGAACTCTCTCCAGGCTGAGCTAACACCAGGAGGGAATTTGAGGTCTCCAGCTTGTCCCATGAATATTGTTTTTCTTTTTGAGGCAGAGTCTCACTATGTAGCCCAGGCTGGCCTAGAACTTGGGATCCTCCTGTCTTAGCTTCTCAACTGCTAGGATTAGAGGCACATGGCATCACAGCCACCTTGAATGCTCTTTCAGGGTTTCTTTGCATAGTCCTGACTGTCCTGGAACTAGCTCTGTAGACCAGACTGGTCTTGAACTCACAGAGATCCGCCTGCCTCTGCCTCCTGAGTGCTGGGATTAAAGGCGTGTGCCACCACTGCCGGCAGGTCAAATTTCTTACGCAGAATTCAAATTTGAACTTTGTGAGTAAAATTAACTATAAGCTTTCTGCTCTACTTGCCAAACACTAGGTAGTTGTAAACTATTGGTTGGAGTCTTACACACACACACACACACACACACACACACACACACACACACACACACACTTCCCTCAGCCCTTGGGAGTAGACAGGGACAGGGTCTCTGTGTAGCCTAAGTGAGCCTTATTCCATATACATATATGTATACATGTTTATTTGATTACTGACCCCCTCCTCAGCCATTACATAAAACTTATGCTGCATGTTCTACCATTGCTGTGCCCTAGAGCCAAGCAGAGTGGCACACACACAGTACATGCTTAATAAATGCTATTGAAAGAACATGTGTTCTTTTGACTGAGGTCCCTTTAGGATTTTGACAAGTATTAAGTCTATTATACTAGGAAATGGGGCTCAGGGTAACAGAGTCTGATCCCTGGAGAATGTCAAAACTGTGATACCTTCAGGGACCAAGGAGTGCTGGGTGCCCAGCCTGGCTAAGGACCTCTCTTCCTTTTCTCTCAGGGAACAGCTCTCTGGCAAGGGCATGAGCAGGGAGGAAATTCTATTCTAGCCCTGTGCAGGACAGACAGACATCAGAGCAGCCAGGGATTCAATATTCCTCATCTGGGTACTTTGACCAATCAAAGTCTACTACTGGCTCAGTCATCCTCCACAGGAATCTCAAAGCAGGACACAGCATGTTAACTATCCCATGACTGGTGGTGACTCAGTCACTAGTCACCTTCTGAGCTCCTAAATACACACATTCTGCTTGTAGCTGAAAAGCATGGTATTTTCACTGTGGCTCAGTTTCACAAGAAATAGAGCCCCTTTTCAGCAAAGATGTGTTCACCAGAGCCAGGAGTGCTTCCTACCAGTCCCTGGAGGCACAGTTCCTAAGAAGTCACTCTATGTGCCATGGGGTTCTGTGTGCTCTGTTCCTGGGCCTGGACACTGCTAGCAGGTTGCGGGTTGTTCAGAAGGCTGGGCTGATGTAAACATTCCAGGAAATTTATGGCTAGACAGAGCTCTCTTTCCTGTATCTGCATCCTCTAAGGTGCGGCTCGGTCACCTTCTTTAGCAGCAGCTAAAGTCCCCTCACATATAAGCAGGCTTAACTCAGTGAAAACAAGAGGCCTTTATTCTAAGAGCAAAAGCAAGGATTTATGGGAGCAAAATGTCTACATTCTACAGCTACTAAAAGACACAGGCTGTATTCCATCACCTCCTAGCTGGTACTTACAGGCAATTTTCTGCACCATTTTGGCAGCTATGGAAAATTAGTAAAAGGGCAGAACAGGCAAAAAAACAAAAACAAAAACAAAGCAAAGATGATAATTCAAGAAAATACACAATAACCAAGGAAAAACATTAACCACAATGAGGCTTCAAACACACATGGGGAAGTAGAATTTTAGAAAGGAATATGCCTTTTGCCAATGAAATGACAAAGAACAGAGATGGAAAATATGAGCAAAAAGGTCAATCTAAATATTAAAGGTACACACAACCTCCAAGCCTTGATCTAACCGTATTGCGAGTATGGGTCAGCATTCACAGGACATAGTCAAGAGTCTGCTGATGGTTTCTAGAACCTGCAAAATCATGCTCTTCAGGATAACTGCATAGGAGGGGCTTCCCAGCTCAGGACCACAGGAAGCAGAAGTGGTTCCACTGTCAGCATATGCTGCTGCCCTTACTTGCCAGGAAGAGAGAGCCTTTGCGAGGGCTCAGTAAGATCTGGGCCAGCCTGACTTGAATTGGCTTGAAAGCAGTCAGAATTGATTCCTTTTGTGGTGCTGGGGATAGAACCTAGGACAATGTTCATACTAGGCAACTGAGAAAGGAAGCTCCGGGCCCAGGGCAGCTCATTTCTAGGTTTGGTAGCCCCATCAAAGTCACGGATTCCTTATAGCCCCTCTTGGCTCTAGGGGCTGCCACTGTCTTAACACAATCCTGCCAGCGAGGCAGTAGATTAGCTGTCCTGGAGGGCCGAGTCTGCTTGGAACACCTCGGTCCTTGGGAAGCGAGGGGGTTTCCGCTTGTACTTCAGAAGCAGATGTACTGATTAAGGCTGCAGCTGTCCTACTGCCTGCTCTAGTCCACACCTATTCCTGGGGCAGACCTCCTGCTGCAAATGCAGGCTGGTATGCTTCAGACTGTGCTAGGGAGGAGGCTGCAATTTGTCTAACATTCTGATCTCGGAAGAAACACCCTACTTATGCAGTCTAATTGCAAATATCGAACAAGGCCTTTGTGCTTTGGAAACCAGAGTGCCCAGTAGAAGGACAAAGCAGAGCTTTGCTCAGGTGTCTTCAGTACAAGCCATGTACATTCCCTGGCACAGGGTGTGCTTCTCCGGAGCAGGGTGAGTTCGCCCTTACCTCATTTAAACCTGGAGTGATAGTCGGCGCCGCAATGAACACCACGAAAGGAGCGAACTCAGCAGTTCTCAGGACCTTCAGTGCCTGTGTGGGCAAGGGAGACACTTAGAAGAAGAACTCACCACGATACCATGCGAAGGAGCCTACAAAACGGGACCCGACTGGACAAGCCACGGCCCTGGCTCAGGGTTTGGGCAAGTTATAATGAAATGTACCAGCTTTGTAAGTAATGTAGATTGCTTTTCTCCTAAGGGTGGACAACAGCTCAGAAAAGAAGAGCTGACAAAGTGGACATGTTTCTTATGAATCTCATGACTTGGCTGAGTTGATTTTTCTTTGTAATAGTTAACACTGACTATGTTGGTTAATGTGTATCTAAACCTGGTGATTTGATAAAGCCTAAATTTTAGTTGATGGGAAACGCATTCTAGGGAGACTTAGATCTGCAGGCTGGCTTCACACTGATTGGGAACTCACTTTGTCACATATCCAACCGCCAATTGCTAACCAAAGAGAGCAAATCCTGTCTGCCATCACTGTGGGGGCTGTAGTCACATTGACACAGGCCTTCTGATAAAAGGCCCCCTTTGGCCCTCATGGGAGAAAGGGAGACCCTTGCCCAGGGCTGCAATCATGAAGTCCTTTCACAGAAGGAAGTAGTTGTGTAGTTGTGGCCAATAACTTGACCCATGTGAGGACATGGCCCTCTGAGGTTACTTTTAGTACCTTTCCAAAATGTGGCAAATCTGTGCAAGTGACTTGTTTACAGAGGTGTGCAGCAACTCTGTGAAGGCTCACTGTTTCTGTTCCTCCCCTGGGAGGCCATGATACTCTCAGAGGTAAGCAATGCCCATCCCAGTACAGAGCTGACCACACGCAGGTACCTGATCCACACATGACCGACATGCGAGTGACTCATAGGCATCAGGAGTCTCTATTTTAGTTTTCGTGCCCGAGACAGGGTCTTAGCACAGGCTGGCCTCAAACTGGCACTCCTTCTGCATTGACTGGGGTTACATGTGTACACCACCATGTCAGACTGCTTGCTGCTCTTTACACGAGAACCAAACGTCTATTTTGTCACCTATGTAATTTGTTTCGTAAATGATCTTGACTTCTGTTTGCTTTCCCCTATTTCTTCTGCTCCATCCTTAGCCTGATTTAGAGAGCTAGTCCTTACACTGATTCCCTGCCTCTAGTTTTGGGGCTTTGAAATCCATATTCCAACCCACTGCTAGATGATCTTTCTGAAACACAAACTCCATCTTCCCCTCCTAACCCTTCAACAGCCCCCTCTGCTTGCAGGGAAAACACATGCTCCTTTAGCAGAAAGGCTGGGTCCCACGTTTAACTTCTTCTGCCTAGCTCTGCTCCATCCGCTGTGTGGATTTGGCTTATTGAACAACTTTCAGGCCTAGAAAAGGCCCAACTCTTTCTGCTTCCTCTACCTGGCCTTCCCACCCTTTCCCATTGTCCTTTCTGTTTGGCTGAATAATCCTTCAGAACCCAGTTTCTGGAAAGTCTTTTTTTTTTTTTTTAAACATGATTTCACATAGGCAAGAATGACTTCAAACTTCTAATTCTCCTGCCTCCATCTCCCAAGTGCTGGGACCATAGACATGCCCAGTTGTATGCAGTGGTGAGGGTTGAATCTAGGGTTTCATGCATGCTCGGCATGCACTCTATCAGCTGAGCTGGACCTTGAGCTCCGGATCCTCTCGCGCTGCTGATACCACACTGGCAGTTTCTTTGGAAGGTTTACCATTGGGCTCGGAGGCCCTGCTGTGTATTCCTGAAACACCCATCAATCACACTAGTTCTAGATTTTGGTCACATACGGTCTTTGGGTAGGTGAGGGGAACCTGGTTCACTGTCTTATCTGTCCAAATCTCTTTATTGGTCGAGACACATGTTCCGAGTCCCCTGCTAAGAATGCTTTCCAAGCCTGCCCATGTTCACTCTTGATAGAGGTAGCTGCCCATTTCTTTGCTCACCTGTTGTGACTGAACACACGATTCAAGTAAGCCTAACCGGCTTAGATAGAGTGCAAGTAAGTCCTCCCTTACAAATGTCCACTCTGTGACTATTATCTTGGGTCTTTGTTTCTTCCTTCCTATGCCCCGGCAGCAAGGGAAAACATCAGACAGGCTATACGGCTTTCTCATCATTTCCATTGGACGGACACACACACACACACACACACACACACACACACACACACGCACACACACACACTTTCTCTCTGTGTGTCAACTAAGATGTGGAAACATCCTACTTGCTTTTCTCCCCAAGGTACCTCTGAGTGCCAGATGGGGGCGCACACACCTGGATGGGATGCTGCATGGGACTCACAGAGGACAACAACGGTACCCCAGGTGGGAGACGCTTTTCTTCTTAGTCGCCCACCCTGCTATACAACCAAACCTGTGAGTGCTTTCGAGTCTAGTCTGCCATCATCTACTGCACAAACAAACTCGGTCCTTGGAAAGCAGCAGTTTAGCTCCCAGTGGACTAGTCATACATGCACTGTGGGCTGCCCTAAGTCTACGGCTGTAAATAAGGAGGACCATCTGACTCTTAACTACATGAAAGCCCCAAGGAAGGTCATGTTCATCACATTTTCAGAGGTTTCTTGTGCCTAAACATCAGCTCTAGGTCCCTCCCCGACCCTGCAGCTGACAGAAAGTTTAGAACCAAATTTAATGCTTATCATAATAACTACAGTAGTTCCTGTGGTTAGCATATTTGTTCCCCTGTCTTTTTCACGTTTTTCTATTTCTATCCTATATTATCGCATTTTCCAAAATTCCACTGTGCCTCACATCCCAAGCACGATTTTCTCGTCTCATTGGGATTCAGTCTCAGCATCATCACCACGCATCTCCTCATTTGTTTCTGACAATCTCTCTCCTCAGAGCCTGCTCTAGTTAGGGTTTTCAAGCAGGAGCCATTGTAGGTCCAGGCTCTTGGCTGAAGTTCAGAGTCACTTCAGGGACAGAAAATGGAACTGCTCATAAGGAGTCCCCTCCCTCAGGTGGCTAATATCGGAGTTAAAGATGAACTCCAAACCTCTGATTTAAAGTGAGATACAAATTTGTTAATAGTCACAAGTAAATCTATCTTTCTGAAAGGGAGGAGGGGAAGGAAGGGAGGGAGGGAGGGAGGGAGGGAGAAAAGGAGAGGAGGGAGTGGAGGGAGAAAAGAAAGAAGGGGAGGGAGAGAGAGAGAGAGAGAGAGAGACAGTCAGAGAGAAAATACACACTCTAGAAAAAGCACTGGAAACATATTGGATTAAAATAATCACTAGATTTGTACTAGATTTAAAAAGTACCATTCATTTATGAGAGGTAATTTACGGAGGTAAATTCATTTTTATAGTTCATCTATGTATGGCCAAGAATTAATCTCAGGTTATTTTGCCAAGGAAAAAGAACTCATTTGACCAAGGACCTAAGATGTGGGTCTCATTAGACTAATGTAGTTTGCCAAGTTCTGAAGTATACAGGGCAAGCAGCTCAGTTATTCTTGTACGCAAATGCAAGGGCTTCAGGAAGAGCACAGTGATAAGCAGAGAACAGAATGACCTCTGGCTCTTGTTTATGTTTTGGTACTGAGGATGGAACCTAGGATCCTCCTGCATGCTAAGCAGTGCCCCTACCAATGAGCTAGGCCACCGGCCCTGACTCTTAAAGTTTAGGTTTCTACTAAGCTTGAAATTTATCTTTGGATGACAACTTTTCTCTCTTTGGGCAAAGGCAAAGCTACAAACCATCTGCTACTGTTTTGGACATGGAATCTGGCTATATAGTCCAGGCTGCCCTTGACTTTATCATCCGCCTGCCTTAGCCTCCTGAGTGCTGGCATTACAGGCAGGCACAGCTGCTCCCAGCAACTAGTATTAACTTTGAAGTGCTTCTGATTGGTAAATCAGAATACAGTTCAAGTTAAGAACCATTATATTAAGTAAGAACCATTATATTAAGTCCCAATCACCTACTAGTTGTTATTCTACACTTTCTGTTTATTGGTATAGATTAGTTCCTCAAGTTTTATTTCCATGAGAAAAGAGCTTTATACTATTTACTTTAGGTTTCATTACCCTATAGACTTTTCTAGATGTTGAAAGAAAAAAAATGAAGGTTAAACTGTAGTATTATGCATAAGGTAGGAGACCTAGAGGGTGCCCAAGGTTGCCTTGCCTACGATGGCACAAAAGGTTGGGATTTGTCATAGAAAAGTAAAGAAACCCAACACAGTTCAAAGCTCACTTTGGCTGGAAAAGCTTGGTTGATCACAATTGCATTAAGCCCGTTTTCTTTATCTATGGTGGTAGAAACTGATGGAGTTCCTTGAGGTTCCCAGAACTGGCAATATAGGAATATAATCTCTTGCTATTTTGAAAGCAGCCAGGATACTGGTTTATTTTTTTTTCTAGCCTAGTATCCCTGCCAGGGCCCTCTAGGTTGAAGTTGGACCACCACATCTTATCATTTAGTAGTGGTGCTTAAATTGAGCCTTAATTGTCTGAAATAAATTAAGATGGCACAAAGCATTAGACATGTCCTAAAGGAGCTGAGCACCAGTGTTAGGTGGTCATACAGTGGGCCACCTATCAGTGTTAGGTGGTCATACAGTGGGCCACCTATCAGTGTTAGGTGGTCATACAGTGGGCCACCTATCAGTGTTAGGTGGTCATACAGTGGGCCACCTATGGGAGAAGTGGCTTCAGCCGTAGTAGATATTGAGCAGATTAAACAAGAAAAGCCACAAGGCACTTTCCCTCTTTTGGAGAGTTTCTGGGGCACATGCAGGAGGGAATTTCATCCTCACCAGCTTGTCTCCTTAACTGCATTCTCAGCTCTTGGCACATAGCCTGGCATATTAGTGCTTTGTACAAGTGTGTTGAATCAGACGGTCTGAGATACAGTGGAGGCCTTAATCTAAACAGCTGGGGTGGGAAAGGGGCATGGAGGAAAACATTTTAAGAACAAGGCCCTGCCTGAAAGTAAGTCATTCATGGCCACAGCCATCCTGAACGTAGGATGAGGGTCCAGCCCCGGAGAGAATGGGCTGAGGGCAGGGAGGCCCAGGGGAACCCTGTTAGTATGGACTCCACAGGTATCCCCGATTGTACTGCCATACATAGCATCCAGCTAGGAGTCTAGACTGGGCAGGAGAGCCTGGGACCAGAGTGGTCAACCAGTCCACACAGGGGCCAGATGGCCCTGAGCCATCTACAGCAGAGGCCAGGATGCTTAGGGCCTGCCCTCAGGGGCCAGTGGAAATGAGAGATCACAGTTGTGAGAGGAGGGAAACAGGAAGCAAGAGAGGAGTGCAGGTGAGCTCATCCAGCAGTCAGGGCAGCAGGGGCCAGTGTGGCCGGCAGGAGGAGGTGCCGGGCCAAGTGCAATGGAGAAAGGATCTGCTGTGGACGTCCTGATGAGGCTGAGAGATGGGTCTCCCGCTCAGCAGTGCAGAGCAGTGCATGGCTGTGCAAGGGCAAGGGACAGGGAGAGCTGGGTGCTATGAGTGGAGCAGCAGCGGCAGCGGCGGTGGTGGTGGTGGTGGTGGTGGTGGTGGCGGCGGCGGTGGCAGCAGCAGCAGCAGCAGGGAAGGCAGAAAGCCCTTGGAAGTGGCCTGAGGTAATGCAGAGGGATCTGAGGAGCCCTGCAGCCAGCATACTGCTAGAGACATTACTACCAGCAGAAAACGACGTTCAGGTGAAGACCAGTGTGGAACCCAAGGAGAGGATGTCGAAGACCAGGACCAGGATTGAGACTTTGCCTCTAGCCACCCCTGGCCAGAAGATTTTTCCAATCCCTAGTAAGGAGGGATTAGTAGTTAAACAAAGATCAATCTGCGTTACACATCATCATATTTAGTTCTATATAGGTCCAAGTTAACCTTTAAGTAATCTAGTGTTTACCCTATTATTGTACTCCTCCCTAGCCCCTAACCAGATCCTATTGTGATTTCCAAAGTTCTGAGTTCAAGAACCCAACTTGGTGCTATAATGGAAATGGATAAAGCTAGTGGCCATGGGTTAGAAACTGAGCCATCAAGGCCCAGCTCACACAGACTGTAAGTCTAATGATTTAGGGACGGCTATGAGACCAAGTCTCATGCAGTGACCTCTCAACAGGGATTTTCCCTGCCTGGGACAAGTATATAAGCCTCCTCCTGCTGAAGCACAGCCTGCTCCACCAGGGGCATTTCTCCACATCTCAGCAGGTGGTACACCTGATTCTAGTCTAAGTGATGACAGGCGAGGGGTATAGATCCATCTAAAAATGGCACATCTGAGTCCTAAGAGTCCCCACCAGCCTGTCCTATAACTTCCTCTGATGTCTATCATTCCCAAGTCCCTTTCCTTGTGCTTTAAGACCCCCTTCTACTTGGCTTATGCTCAGACATGAAAAGTTAGCTCGTCAGCATTTCTGTTTTCCTTGTGTATGCTAAGCATGTGCTCACCTTACCGCTGAGCTACAATGATGTCAATCCCTATATGAAGTCTTCAGCTTTATCTTTCTCAAGCTCCATCATTGCTATTGCTTCCCACAGAAGACTTGGTTACAAATCATTAAATCAATCATCTTTGTACTAGCTCCTTTTTGAGTCCTCTCTAAGTTCTTCACTTCTCTCCTCAGGAAAGGAAATAGCAGAGGCTGAGATCTGCCTGGGCTCCTAATCTCTGCTTCGCCTAACCCCGGGTGAAAGCACTCACAATTAATTGCATTAAGCTACGGCTGTTTCACATCCAGACCTCAGGATCAGTTTCTCACAAATGGTCAATGGAAGATATTGGCAGATGCTCTACTGGTCCAGCATGGACTGTACCAGGAGATCAGGGGTGGGCTGCTGAGATAACAAACTGTCAGAGCCTCATCCTGAGGTTGGGTAAGTGTAGGATTTCCGGTAGGCACAGACCCAAATGGGTACTTCATTGAGCTTCTGATTATAAGTGGCAGAAGAGAACAATGTGCTTCTTAAATGCATGCTGTGTGCGCTGAGTTCAGTGACTGATCAGTTTATATCCTAGACTGTTGAGTCAGGGAGTCTTGAGAACTGAAATTTTCCCGTGGCTTAGAAAATTATTTCCGCGACCCAAAACTTTCTGATGGCATTTTGTATTTTAGAATCTGAGCTTATCAGCATGCAGGCAAGATGGAGTGGGTTCAGGGTGGCTTGGACATTACCTGAGGCTCCACGTCCAGTATTGCAATCAGCCCCTGCTCATGGATTTTCCGAATGGTCTCCAGTTTTGTCCCGTACATTGCATCCTCGTGGCTGCCGTACTCCAAGTACTCATTATTTGAGATGTCTTGCATCATTTGGTCATGAGATACAAAGTAGTAATTCTTGCCATTTTCTTCATCTTTCTTTGGAGGTCTGGTTGTATCTGTAAAGTTCCATTCATGAGAGGTTTAAATTACACTCCCAATGGACTTACTCAACTCAATCACTGTGTGTGTGTGTGTGTGTGTGTGTGTGTGTGTGTGTGTGTGTGTGTATGTGTGTGTGTGTGTGTGCGTGCACTAGCGCACTAAGATCCAGGCCTCTCTGTATATTAGGCAAGCACTCTACCACTGAGCTGTAAACTTAGCTCCTCAATTGTTTCTGAAAAGCTGATTAAACCAGGTATGATAGCACAGAGCTGCAATCCCATCACTTCGGAGGTGGCAACAGAAGGATTACAAATCCAAGGTCAGCCTGGGATACAAGAGACCTTGTCTCAAAAAGAAAAAAAAAGCTAGTGATTCTTTAGAGTGTCTCATATCCTCTGTGTCCATCTCCAGTAATGTGCAGAATCAATTTAAAAACCGTATTTATCTGTGTACAACAGCAGATCAGATTTCTTTGGTTGGTTTGTTGTTTGGTGAATATTTCAGTGTTGTGAGATGTATTCCACACTGCCCTGGGAGAAAAGACATGAAGTGACTGTGATGTTTTTGGAATGAAAAATGGCCCTGATAGAGTCAGGTGGCACTGTTTGGGGAGTCTGAGCCTTGCTAGAGGAAATATGTCACTTGGGACAGAATTTGAGACTCATAGCCTTGCTCCATTTCCAGTTTGCTCTCTCTGCTTTGTGTCTGAGGCTGGAAATGTGATCTTTCACCTTCTTGCTCCTGTTGCTGTGTCTGCCCTCTATGATGGACTCTCACTCCCCTGGAACTGTAAGACAAAACAAACTTTTTTTCTCTAAGTTACCCTGGTAACAGTATTTTATCACAACGACAGAAAAATAACTAATAGGGTGACGAAAGAGTAACATAACTCAGTATCCCTTAGCTTACTTGGGTCCCATGCAGAAGGAAGAAAGAATGAAAGAATGTATAACTAACTACATGTGGCTATTTACAGTTAAATGAATGAGTGAAACGGCTCAGTTTCTTCATCTTACTAGCCACATTTCAATGGTTGAAGAGCCACAAAGGACTACTCTATTGGACAGTTCAGATACTGAAACTTCTAGACAGTGTTAGTCCATACCACTTCACAAATGAGAATGTTGGTTGGAATAGAGTAAAAGGCATACCACACTGAAAACATCATAATGGCCTTAAAGAGGTGTGGCTCTGATGAGTATAGAAGAACTACATCAAAAGGTGAGGCAAGGAACTGGTGAACCGGTTTATAGGCCAAATGGTCCTTCAGAGATTTGTTTGTCATTTTTGAGACAAGGTTTTACTTTGTAGCCCTGGCTAGCCTGGTTCTTGGTATGTCGCTCTGGCTGGACTCAAACCTGTAGCCAATCCTGGCTTCTCTCTGTTTTCCTAGCTGCCATGAGGGATTTTGCTCTGCTCTAAGCTCTTGCCGTCACGGTATTCTGTCTCATCACAGACCCCCAGCAATGGAGCAAGCCAGCCACCCATGGACTGACACCTCTGAACCGTGAGCCCCAAATCACTTTGTTCCTTTTGCTTTTTTCCAGCAAAAGTGTAACACAACTGGACACAAACACACACTTTTTGTCTTTTCTCCCTGCCTTTGTTCTCTCATCTTTCAACTTCCTCCTTCGGTATTGCTTCCTCCCTTCCTTGAATAAAGACATTTACGTTACTCTTTGCTGAAAGCATGGGCCAAAGTCAACTTAAAGAGGATGCTTTCTCTAGTTACATCGAAAGCTGAAGTTGGCATACCTCATCTTCAGTTATCTCAGGGAATATTATATATGACATCAGGGAATGTACAGTACATGTACATCCAAATATTTAAGAGACTAGACATGGTTGATGTCATCAAAGGTAAGCTTTAAAACTAAGTTACTTAGCTGGATAGTGATGGCGCACGCCTTTAATCCCAGCACTCGGGAGGCAGAAGCAGGAGGATCTCTGTGAGTTTAAGGCCAGCCTAGTCTACAAAGCGAGTTCCAGGACAGCCAAGGCTGTTACACAGAGAGACCCTGTCTCAAAACAAAACAAAACAAAACAAAACAAAACAAAACAAAACAAACTGAACCAAACCAAACAAAACTAACAAAAAACTAAGCTACTTAACCAGACATTATTCTGGGAAGTTCAACTGCTATGTGATCAAGATGAAACCAAACATTACCTAAATGTAATGTCCTCATGATACAGGTGTGAGAACTGAAAGCACATTTCAAAATGTTTGACTAGAAAATTGCAGCAGCACCAACTGCAATACCCAGTGAGTTTTTCTTGTGCTAATTCATGAATTCTGAAGGCCCCTGGCTCGGAGGTGTACAGTGACCTTGCTTCAGGAAGGCTTCTGAACACTCAGCAGGAAGGAACCAGTCTTGACACTTTCTTCTGTTGCTCTTGTTTGGTTCTGAGTTTTTGGGAGGCATGATCTTGAAATGTAGCCCTGGCTGGCCTCGCACCTGCAGGGGTTCTGCTGTCTCTGCCTCTTTTGTGCTGGATTATAGGGATGTCCTCTCCTGTAGCTCTAGAGTCATTCATTCTCTGCCCACCCTGAACAAAGACTTAACTTCTGGACAGTGTTTGGAATTGAAATGTTAACCTTTAGAATAATGATATGAACAATCCAATGATGTGTCTGATAGCTATGACCTAGCCACCATCTGCTTCACACACATCCTCTTACACCCCTTTACAACCATGGGATTACTTCACTTCACAGTTGAGGGAATGAAAGAGGGCAAGAGGTTGACAATATGAAATAGACAAGTAAGGGTGATTGAAAAATATTACAGATTTGAACTCCTTATACTAAACAACAGATAGTTCATTGACTAGGTTTTAAAAGTGTTAAGAAGCCAATGATGTAGATGATGATTGGCAGAAACATGGTTGTATCAGAGAAAATTATCAAACAATTAAAGCTTATGTTTTAAAAGAATCATTCATCTAGACAATGTTTCTGACATACTGTTGGAAAAATCATGTTACAAACAACATGGATAAGACTAATGCTCTAACCCCACTGTGCACATGTTTACATTAAGAGAAGCCCAGAAGGGGTCACGACAAACATTCACGGTACTTATTATTTGGAGAATAAGCTTGAAATTACCTTATTTTCTTCAGTGTTCTTATTTTGGATTTTACAAATTTCCCATAGTACACAGTTATTTATATAATTAGAAAAATATGCATATTACAATGATAAGAACATGATAGCGTAAAAAGAATTCAGATTGATCCATTGCTTACGTGGAATAGGATACGCAAACCGGTCTGGGTGCTTTGTGATGAGGGTGTTTTTTATGTGTCTTCTCCCAACACCATGTGCACCTATGCAATTTTTGAAAAGAATGGCAAAATTAACAACTAGTAATAATATTTGTAAAATATTTTGGAGGTGAGAATCAGCAAGCCTAAACTTACACAGCTAAACTTACCTAATAAGACTAGTGTTTTCCTTTTGAATGCTGGCAGTTTGACTACTTCTTCATATGTGACAAGGTCTAATTGATCAAACACTAAAATGCAAAGATTTAGAAGAAAGGTAAGTTTATGGAATGGACATCTCATGTAGGTAAATTATAATTTTATTGGAAAAACTAAGTTATAATAACACCATGAATCCTGCTTATGAAATGTAGCTTACATGTGATTTAATTCATAGTGCCATTATGGGAGAAAGTTTACTTTTTGAGCCCATGAAAATGCACTTGAGAACCAGGAAGAACCAAAGAAATGATGAGTCCATGCATGAAAGACCAATTCTAAAGGCTACCTCATTTATTTTTCATGCAGTATTCCAACAAATCATTTGGATTCACTCAGAACCACATGCTGTGCATATTTTCACATATTAAAAAGAAAAAGTCTTTGGGCAGCAACCATCACAAGTAGAGCATGGGTGCAAGTGAAGCTGAGTGAGTGAGGGCCAGCACTTCCAGAGATGGCTGAGAAATGCATGGTCACCCAGTTTTTTATCTAATGTTATTGCTTTTATTACTTCTTAAGAATTGATGAAGGTGGCATGTTCAAAGCCAGGTTCTGGAAGGATTTTTATAAGCTTTTAATTGAAGATTTCACAAATTTTCCTGTAACTTAGGTCTTGGGAAGGCATGGGTTTTAAGCAGGGAAACATGCATTCCTGGCCCAGAAACTATGTCAGCCATTAATTATATGGGAAGCTATGTGATAAATCAGCATGGACAGGATGGAAAGAATCATGGAGAGTCTGAGCTTAGAAACCTTTGAGAAAGGGCAGTTCTTTAATTATTATAGACAGAGAAATACCTTAAAAATATGTTTTAGAAACGTGCTTCTCAACAACACTATGATGAGAACAATTTCAAGCAATAGGGGAAGTTATCACAGTGAATGATCATTGCTATTGAAAGGGTCTGATTCTCACACATGTTTGAAAATTCTCATGAGAAGGCTGAAGTCAGAGATCCGTGTTTCCTGTAAACTACCCACCCATGGTCATACCCAACTAATATCAAGTACACAGTGAAGTTTCCTCTTAAAATATTGAGTTCTCCCAGGATTTCAGAGGGGGTGAATAATTCAGTGAAATGGACCCCATGGTTGAATCATGCAGAGAGCTTCTGCTCCCTGAAATAATATGGCCAAATTATCTTGAGAATCAGCTCAGTCCTTAACATTTGTGATCTGCACAGTAGCAAAGAACCTTATGATGCAAAATAAGATACCATGGGATGCAATAGATCACAAATACATAAATGAATGAAAAGCATCATTCTCAAAATATATAGAGAAAGAAATACAATATATCAAAATAAAGGTTAGTGCATATTAATGGGTCTTTGTGCATTTGCTTTCTTTTGGAAACTTGATTCTACAAAGGTTGAGTAAAAAAATCTTTAGACCATATTCTCTAGCAATAGCTTATACTGGAGAAATGTTTGCAGAATGGCATGGTCACAGAATTAAAATGAACACGAGACTCCCCGTGGGAGAGCTAGTTTGCTGTGCTACAGTGGTAATGGAGTGATGAGAACTGCAGAAATAAAAGCAGGGTGCTTATGGCATTGCTTTCTGTACCTATTGCCTTGAATAATATTTCCATCAAGGAAAAGTGTGCTTATGGGAAGAAGTGCATCGGCAAATTGATGTGTTTTAAGCTATACAAACCATCAAGTGCTTCATGAAAGAGCAAAGATGATTTTTCTGAAAAGTTTTCTGAAAGGTAGACACATCCCTCTTCCTCTATAGAGCCCTAACTTGAGTCTTGATTATTTATGCCTTTGTCGTTTTCTAAAAGTGCACGAGTTAGGGATTAACAACCAACATACCACAAACAAATGAACAGATAGGTTAAACTTTAGAATCTTAGCCATGAATGAGTAGCATGAAGAGGTTACTCTGGTCTAAATTAAATTGCCACGTAGTCATAGGGTTGCAAAGCAAAGCAAAACAGGATATTTGAAAACAAGAGATACAAGGGATATTAGAAGAACACTTAAAGAAAGGGTTGAAATTGCTTGCTGATTAAAGAAAAAGGACTTAAAAATGAAATCATCAAAAACACAGAGGCATAGTCATTCAACAGGTTACTTACATGCACAGAGGCCATTGGGAGTGAGACAGCATGAAAAATGTACAGGGGTCATTGAAATATGACTTTTCATAGATTAGTAAAATAAAAGTATAATAGGCACAAAATAAACTTTATCATGCACTATTTTAAACACAAGGTAAATAAACCACATTAAGAAACAAACTCATTTTAATACAAATTCAATCATACCCTTATATAAAAGCCAGTGGATTTTATGTGCTACCATGTGTATAGAAATTTTATGTGGGAATGATAAGAAACTCTTTTTAGAGAGAATAAATATAGGGGCCTTTCACTTTTCACTTTGTGCATTTCTGTACCATCTGCAATTTCTAGCTATGTGTGACTATTAGTTTGTTATTATTATATTTTGTGATTCTGGGGATCAAACTCAGTGCCTTGCCTTGCACATGCTAATAAAATGCCCTATCACCAAGCTACACCTCCAGCCCTACTTTTATTATTAAAAAAAGCCAATGTCAGTGAGGTTATAGGCCACTTTTCTTCAGGATAGTTTAAAAAAGCTAATTACTAGTTTGTAGTATTAAGCATAATTTAAACACAACTATGAATGCTATTCCAGAAATCCTCTTAAGTGCATATGTACCTGCATAAGCAGGACATTAAATACCACTGTTCTGATGTCTCACATTAAAAAAAATGAATACAGACTTTCTAATTTGTAAAAAAGTTTAAATCAGTAACTTGAATTAAAAGTGACTTTTTAAAAAATGTGCATTGGTGTTTTGCCTGCATATAAGTCTGTGTGAGGGTGTCAGATCCTGTAGTTACAGACATTTGTGCCATGTGGGTACTAGGAATTGAACCCGGGTCCTCTGGAAGAGCAGCCAGCTCTTAACCACTGAGCCATCTCTCCAGCCCCCTAAAAGTGACTTCTTGAAGTCTTGGCTTAGGAAGCTCAGTGCATCTAGAGCACAGTTCTAGCAGGATGACAATGCTGTTTGCAGCAGATGCATGCAGCCAAAAGGTCTCATGAGTTTGCAGAAACGTATTTGGTGTAAATACTACACATACCACAATCCAATTTATTCCCAAGAATCCAGAAATATTTCCTGGCATACTTTGTTTATATTTCTCTGATTTCCTGGTAAGCTACTTAACATTTCAGGCACTTAAGTATTTAAGCAACTATTTGAAAAAAAAAAAGCAAGCTGTTAACACTGAATCTTTGCCTTTGTCTTTCAAGTAGCTTCAAATACTGAAAAACAACCAACCAACCAACCAACCAAACAAACAAAACAACAAACAACCCCCCAACCTAACTCCAGTTAAGAATGCATTCCAACTAGTGGCACTGGTTCAGAGAGGATACTGTATGTCTGTAGTGGCCACACAGCTAATGTGGTTGAATGAAGGCAACCAGTCAAAACAGCAGGGGTTTATGGGTATGGGGGGGGTACTAGGGAAAGAAATGTTCATCCAAAAGGGATATCAGCAACCCATAGACCCTAATACAGGAAGTGACTTAGTGAGGCTGCATTCACTATTTTGCCAAGAGATGTCTAAAACCCAAAGTTTTATGTTATATAACCTGATTTTCAAATGTGGTATCATAAAATTATTTAAATATTGTGTATGAATGAAATTTATTTATGCCACTGTATTATGTAAGATGTAGGCTGCATAGTTTGAGCAGAATTCTGCTTTAACTAGACGTGTGGATTTTCCTGGTGACAGAAATAATAGATTTTAATGTTATTATTGCCATTCTTGGTGCTGTTGACAAAGTCTATCCTTTATTCTACTTGAAAATACAAATAATTTCCAACTTTGATGATAAAATTTAGAGCTTGTCATCAATGTATGATGAATTTTCAAAGGCTTTGGACAGGTAACAAAACCCATCACCTTATTTTGAATCATTGCACAGCATAGGAAGAACCGAGTGTGCTGTATTTTATGGCCAGTTTCTGAAAGAAATCCTTGAGAAATACAGTTTGATTTGTGAGCATCTGGCTAGTTGTTGGTGTCAAAGAATACACTATTTCCATGTTTTCACAGCAAGTGCCTTACCTAAATGGAGGCCAACAGTATTTTACATAACTCTTTATATGGGCAATACAGTAATTTAGGAGGCAACCTCAGTCTAGCCAAAGCAGCCAGCTGTCTCCTGACAGCCTCATCTCTTGTAGTGCTAAGCAAAGGGTTCTGGACCTTAGGAGAAACAAGATGGAAACGTTCGTTGATAAAGTAGAGGAACCCTGAAGAGATGGTGACAGAAAGGAATACTAGGCTTAGTTAGGCAAGTATATTGCAGACAGGTCAGGATAAAAGCTGGTCACCTCCTCCTAAGAGAGAAATTAACGAGAATTCATGACTCTGCAGGGGAAGGAACCCTGACGGCAATGTTCAGACTAGAGACTCACAGCTAAGCAGAAGCACAGAGGTTTAGAAAGAAACTTAAGTGGCTATGCAAGGACCTTCCTTCCAAGCTGCTCAGGCAGATAAACATGGACAGGTAGGACAATCCCTCAAGCATGACTAGAACTGCTCGGCTGCCAAGGAGAGGCCAATGGTTAGGAGAATACTAAGGGCAACAAAAAGTGGTGTTCCTCTGTCCCCTGTACAGCTAAGGTTACTTTTCCTCAATCTGAGTTTATGAGAACTTTGGCACATGGTTTGGGATAGGGGATGTCAGGCCAAAAGATGGAGAAGAAAACAATTGTATCCCATTGTCTAAATCAAGGATTCAACCTGGACAGGCAGTGTTTCTCAGAGAGCTACAGCCTGAGACATGGAGCACTGAAAGATTACTCGGATTTCCCACAGGGGTATCTGTTGCCAGACTGAGTGATGAATTCACTGAGGCGTACAGTTAAGGACTGCCTTGACTGGCTAACCTGCTTGCCTGGTTTGAAGGCATCAGTGAGCTAAGTGAGCAAGCCATGCACTTCCTCTGGGTGGGCTAATGATCCTGTCTCAGGCCGTCGATTCGGTTGACAGTCACATTTTGCAGGAATAGTGGACACTGCCTACTGGGAATCCAAACGGGCATGATGGAAGAAGCACAGCGATGCCCCAGTGCTCAAGAAAGAAAACACGAACCACACAAAATGAGAACCACTGTCAGATTGGATGCTGCTTCTCTAGCAAAATTCTTCAACAAATGACTTGACCAAGTCTTTGTCAACAGTTGGAGAAGTCGCGTTTTCTGATCAATTCACTTCATTATCCTCATAGAATATTGGCAAATTGAATACTGATGTCTACATGCCTTCCAGCTAGTAGAGCATAAAACTAATGACATATTAGCAGATTTACCCAGCTATTTCTTTGCTTTCCTAGGTTTAAATTAACTTGAGTGTCATCAGTATTTGTGTATCATTTAACACTATACAAATGACAAGGTGAGCTAGATAATTTTCTCTTTCATTTTGGTGCTGGGGCTGGAACCCAGGGCCTTTTTCACATGCTAGTCAAGCATGTTACTACTGAGCTCCATGCCCAGCTGATTAATTTTTTTTTGTATTTAACTAATGTGATTTCAGTTTAACTAATCTCCTTGTGAGCTGGCTCGATCGTGTTAGACTGATGGAACAGAGAGGAGGTAACTAAGGAGACAGCAAGAAGTGCTGATGTCTCAGAAGAGCTAGCTTCTGTTCACGCTGTGCACTTTTTCAGACAGTGGTACTTGAACACAGTGGTTGCTAGAGTCTGTTTGGATACTCTGCATAAAGGGATACTACTCCCTTTATGAAAGCAACACACAAGCCATTGGGAGGCTACTGCACTGTGGGAGTCCATGGGAAAGAAAAAAGGATACTTTGAATTGGGAATAGGATTGCACACAATGTAACTGGTGGGAAGAGAAAGAGGCCTCATCTAATTGAGCCATTTCAACTTAACCCACATGGGCATTCACATCCATTCTGTATACACAGCATTTCATAAATGCTTACATTAATTTCTGATTGAGAAATAAGAATTCAGAAGTCATAAATAATTTTCCTGGTGAATGTTGATGCATGCTAGAACACTGCACAAAGAAAGCTGCATTCCAGATTTCTCAGAAGTACACTGAATTGTGTATGAATGACTGCAGTCATTTGACTGTTTTGACCATATGGTTGATATTTTGGAGTTATTTCTGAAAATTTGGGAACTAATCTACTGCCAACCTTTAATTTCTCAGGAACAGTCCATTATAAAAGGAGTCACACTGAGAAGTCACTGAAATTTAATATACTACCACATATTTTCTTTCAGCTTAAATGACATCCTGTGAGTCTTCTGGGAATTCAAGTGCAATAACAGATCATACTTTCTTGGTATGCATTTTGGTTTTTAACACAACAGTGAACCCTGTGATTTAATTGAACCCCAGCTTCCACACAGACAAAGGGAAGGGAAGGGAAGGTAATGAGGGCCTAGGTAATGTCCTTGTGTTTTTTAAGAACTTCATTAAAGTACAATGAGGGCAGGCAACAGTCACAGAAACTGACTATATCAAGTTAGTATCCATGTCACCTGTGCCGTTCAAAGCAGCTACAGAACCCACTGCAGCAAAGTCCTTCTGTGCACCTTTGTCCTTAAGATCCAAGAGCCAAGAGGAACTGGGAGGGAGGGTCCTCCTCTCAAGGCCAATCTCAGCCAGAGAGGAGAGAACCTTAGGGACTCAACACCCCCCCCACCCCCGAGCACTTGTTTCTCAATGTTGACTTCCTCTCATCATAGAGGATACTACCTCCAAACAGCACCTTCATCCTATAAAGTAGAGCTCTGCCAAGTAACTGGTAGGAGGCAGGGGTTCTTAAGGCATCTGCAAGTTGGTCAAGGTCTCATAGGATACAACATTCTGGAACAAGAACTCTGAAGACCAAACGTAAATGCTGTATTTGCTTAGGTCTTGGAGCTGTTTGACTCCGCCTCAGAAACAGACATGCTTTTCCTACCTGCATTGTGCTTTGCCAAATATTTATCTTTGTACTGCTTCTTTTTCTTGCCAAACCAAGTACAGCTGGCCTGCTGCTCTTGTTTGGTCTTCTCCATGGCAATGCAAGCTACTCGCCTAGTACAAAGAAAGGAAGGAAGGAAGAAAGAAAAGAATCCAACAAAGTTAATGCCTAGTTTTATGCTGAGAAGAGAACAAGTCATTTGAAAGCTACATAAATAGCAAGAATATCCTCCTCAGCCTTGAAATCACCGACATAAAGGCTGTTCTTTGGCTTTCATGACAAATTTCCTAGAAATGCTTTAAAACTACAGGCTCACGTTAAAATTGCTTTGTGTTCCTTGAGCCCACATTAACTGATAATAAGGGTCAGAAGTTTCACCATGTGCTTATGAGATTCAGGATCAAGGCAGGCCTGTTTTGAGTGCTTAGTACTTAGTGTTAGACATGTTTCTAGGAATTTTCCATGTATCAGCTCAGGTAATCTTTCTGACACATTGCATAGAAATTCTGAAAGTTTATAGTTTTGTCTTTCATATTTCATTATATTAGAAATGATTTTTGCTTATCATGTGAAGTACGGGTCCAGTCTCTTTTGTTTCCTTTATGGATACTCAACTGTCCTAGCAGGATATACTGAAAAAAGTAAGACCATTCCTCACTGCTGTGCAATGCTATTTGTTACATAGCAAGTACCTATTTTGGTATGGGAGTTCTTCAGGATATGGTCTCTTTAGTTGGTCTATCTGAGCATCTCTGAATTACTATACCTTTGTGGCTTTTGGTATTTGATTAAGATCTTGGTCCTTGTTCAAGATATCCTGGCTATCCCTGAACTTGTGCATTTCCAGGCAAACTTTAAAGATAATTTATGTATGCATGAATGTATGTATGTATGAATGAGTTGGGTATTGGGTGTCCTCCTTGTCACTCTCCACCTAGTCCTTTGAGGCAGAGTCTCTCCCTGAACCTGGTGCTCACGTTTTCTCAGCTAGGCTGGAAATCAGCAAGTCTCAGTGTTCCTCCTGTCTTTACTTTCCTAGGAGCTAGGGTTACACCGGGTTTGCTATGTGAGTCCTGAGATCTGAACTCTGGGATTCACGACTGCAGAGCTAGTCCTCTTAATTACTCATGTAGTCATCTCTTTAACCTCTCCATGTAAACTTTAAAGTTAGTGTGTCAATTTCAAAACTTGGAATTTTGATTGAGATTGCATTGGTACAATAAATGCAGGAGGGATAGACATCTTTACAATATTGAGTTTTACAGTCCATGAATACAATGTTTGTTCTGTCTCCTTTTTTTATTTTTGTTTTTTTCCAGAGAGGGTTTCTCTGTGTAGTTTTGGTGCCTGTTCTGGATCTCGCTCTGTAGACCAGGCTGGCCTCGAACTCACAGAGATCAGCCTGGCTCTGCCTCCCGAGTGCTGGGATTAAAGGCATGCACCACCACTGCCTGGCTTGTCTGTCTTCTTTAATGCCTTAATAAATTTTATTTTATTTTGTTTGAGACAGGTTCTCGTGTATCTCAGGTGGCCTCAGAGTCTTTGAAGGATAATTTTGAACTCCTGATGCTCTTGCCTGCACCTCTAAGTGCTGGGATTGCAAATGTGCATCACCATGCCATTTTTTTCTTGTTCTTAAAAACAAGGCATCAAAGTCACTATGGAAATGAGGCTGGCTTTGAATTGATCCTCTTGCCTCCTCCTTCCCAAATTCCGGGATTACAAGCATGAACCACTACTCCTGGTTCAAAACTCCCTCAAAGGCCTTGTGCATGCTAGGCAAGCATTCTACCACTGAGCTACATATCCAGTCTTGTTTTAATAAATTAGAAACCAGTTATTTATCCTGTGGTTTCAGGAGAGTCTAACCTTTTTTTTTTTCCATTTTGAAAGAAGGTTTCTGTAGCCCAGACTGACCTGGACCTCACTATGTAGATTAGGTTAGGCTTGAACTCCTGGAAATTTTTCTCTTCAGCTCACAATAGCTAAATAGGGATTCAGATGGGTACCAGAATACCTGACTGACTGAATTGTTTTTTACAATGTGAGGAAGGGTTCCTGACAGATTCACCATCTTTGTTAAGCCTTAGGTCTTACTCTTGGTTCTCTGGCATAATAGCAAATGCCTTCCTTCTTGGTAAGATGAGGCACTTGGTACTCTACGATTTTGCTTATGGCTCTGACGAAAGGGTCTCATAGAAGAACTGGCTGCTGAGTTCCCCGGTACCCTTTGAGCTATTCAGTGCTTTCAAGCTCACTAAAACAAAACAAAACAAAACAACAAAAACCCTTTCACTGTCTGCAGCTTTTTTTTTTTTCCTTCGAAGCAAGAACATTGATCTGAAGAGCCTAGACCTCAGCATAGCCAAGAAGCGAACCATCTTTTTCCACTGTGGCTTCTTCAGATTCCTGCAGAGGACTAAGAGCTCATGATTTATATAGCTGCTCTAAGTAGGAGGAAGCTTGGAATCTACATAATTATTGTTTTTCTTTCCTTAAAATTTGTTTCCAATACATTCTCCTGTATCCCAGGATGTCCTCAAACTCTATGTAACTAAAGATGACTTTGAGCTTCTGATCATCCCATCTAAGCCTCCCAAGTGCTGGATTACAGGCCCACACCACAACATCTGGTTTACTCGGTGCTGGGAATCAAACCCAGGGCTTCACCACGTGAGCTACTACATTCCCAGTCCACACATGATTATTCTGAATAAATGCTCATAATATATGGCAGCTCTCTAGAAGACATTTTATGATATGTATCATTCACAGCGGCAGCATCAAGAGGACTTAGAAATGGTTTTCCTCCTGCTTATGCTAAACTGTCTGCAGACAATCAGACTTAAAGACAAGCCAGACAGCAGGCTGCTGCCTCTCTGTTTGGGCCCACAGCCCTCCATGTGTAACGTGACAGCACCTGAAGTCCTCATCCACTCCAACATTCTAAATTGAAGAATAGTTTTGGGAAACATGAGATAGGTGGAAGAGGCGATCAAGCCAAAAGATTGACCAAGACAACTCTTAAATAGTGAGAAAGACTGGCGAAAAAGCAGAAATAGTTTTTATTACTTCTAACTAAGTTCAAGTATTTTTGGGGGGTACAGGTTAGGGGGGTGGCAGAATTCCAGTTTTTTGGCAGGTTTTGTTTTGTAAACCCAGACATTAAATTATCTTTTTTGGTACTAGATTTCTGGTAGATATTGGCCAAATAATTAAGAGGGTAAGATTATGGACATTTAATAGATGATACACATCCTCTCTTCTCTCAGTCAAAAGCAGGGTCTAAATGCCTGTCTGACTTCAGCCCGTTTCACACTTAAGTCTTCTAACAGAACAGGTCCTCTTCCCCCTCTGTCTCTTGTTCTGTGGATGGAATCCAGGGCATGCCAGGTAAGCATCTACTTCTGAGCTAGAAAAACCATTCTTAAAACCTAGAAAAACCATTCTTAAAGAATGGTAAGGCAAAGAACAAAGCTTCTGATTGTCCTTTCTCCCCGACTGTCCTTTCTTCCAACAGTGGAACAGGTTAAATACCCTGAGTGACACTGAGTCACGGTACTTGGAGATCTTTTCCTGGTGTTGTGAGATGGTCATGAAAGAAAGAAAGGGACAAGAGGGGGGAAATCTGGAAGAAAATGCCATTCTAAAAAGATCTGAACAGTTTGTAGGAGTGAGGGCTCTGCCCAAATGATCTGAGGCCAGTCCCTCGCTTGTCTCTAGACCCTCTTTCCTTACACATGTGCAGATCTAACTGGAACCAGTATTCAACTATAAGCTGGGGACTGAGAATTCTTTGACAACTGATTTTTGGATCTGATCTCTGATCTTTGACAATTGGATTTTGTATAGTTAGCAAAGCAAAGGATTTATCAAGCAGGTTTTATAATACAAAATATGAAATTGAGAACTGGAAGGGAGGGCATTGTTTCATCATAAAACAACAAAAACCATACCATTCCTGAAGTTCAGGAGAAGGAATGAGACCAGCAGTTCCATTTTTGGAGTTCTCCAGTTTACCCTGCCACCAGTTGTGGTCATCCTTACTAATAATCTGAATGATGTCACCAACTCGGAATCGGATGCCAGCCTCTTTGCAGGGAATGAGGTCATCCTTGGCTGGATCATATTCGAATTGTGCTCTTACATAGATCTATAAAACAGGAGTTTGTAAGAAAGGAGGCCACAGTGATGTGAAGGAAAACAGTGAGCACTGATCTAATAACCACACATCAACATTTACAACACGAATAGGACATCAGATGGTGAAAGCTGAAACGATGTATGGAAATAGGACACACGAAACAGGGTGCCACATCTAATGATCACAGCTTCAACTTTGCTGTTTCTATTTAGAAGGAACACTTAAAATACTTGTTGAATAAATTCTGCTTTTAGTGATAGGATACATGTAGAATTATAGAGCAGTATGCTCACCAATTTTAAAACTTGCTATGGCTGTGGTGATGGTATGGATATGTTGTCACGACCATGAGGCAGCCTTTAAGGCAGGCAGACTAACACTCAGGGTAGGTTTTTATTTTAAAGTAGCAAGAAGTCTGGGTTAGTGTCTTGCTGTTGGATGCTTTCATAACAACTGGCAGTGTGTCTATGCACTACAGACAAAGTTATATGTATCTCAAACAATATTAAGAAGTTCAAAATACAGCTTCATTTCTTAGAGGAATTCTGGCTTTGTGTTCGTGTTTTACTCTTCTGGAAAAATAAAGATGAAATCTGAACCCTTGCTTTGCCAATGTAACACTTGAAATCAGTACAGAACATCAAAGCATGCATGGTTTAAGGCCCTGAGCTTTATGGTGTGTGAATTTAGGAGACATAATAGCAGACAAGGTATAATACAGCAGCGTTTTATGAATGACTGGAATTCTAAGTGCTTTAAAATAAGGTACTATAGCCAAGGTTGCCTGAGTTATGCAGTCCTGAGACTAAACTGTGGGCATATTCTACCAATTATTAATTTATACAGTTCTTAACTTAAAATCAGGTTTACTTTTTTTAGCATTACATTTCAGGAAAAAATCCCCACAATTCTATCTCTTGATATTAAGTTTGAATAGTCACATTTAAGTCACTGTAAAACCAACCTGAAAGCTTTGGAACTATTGTGTGATATTTCTATTTTAGCAATCTGGCCCTTAAAATGAACACATTTGTACCTAAACCCCACACTTTAGAAGTGCTGGCTGTTTGCAAGGTGCCTGCCGATGCTACACAGCACTTATCATTTCTAAACTGGCACAGGCATATCGGGATGAAGGCCAGGCACTGATGCTCTTTGTCATCAGACAGATTTTGGACATACACAGGCAAATACCAATTTAATTTTCAGTTAGCTTCCAATTTTAGAAAAGTCCCTTAAAATGTTTGTTAGGGCATGACTTCGAGTTATATTTAGAATTCTATGAATTCTTGGTACACCAGAGGCAGGTGAGACTCTCTGAGGCCAAACTCCCTACTGTCAGCAAAAAATGATCAGGTTGAAATTACAATAACCATCACAGCTACAGAGGTGTGAGGAAAAAAATCTCTACAGAGAATTAGTCATGTATAATGTGCTAAAATGAAATGGTACAAGCTTTCAATGCTCAAATGTTATGGTCCAAAATGCAGACATTATGGGATGGAAAGGGTTAATAAAGGATCGACTATTAGCTCAGTTTAGAGAAGTTTCTATAGAGGATATCTATTCACCTGTCGTCCTTTTGGTTGGGTGGTTGACGGCAAGTCCTGTAGAATAAAGCCAACCCAGGAGAAAAAATTTTCATTTACTTGTCAAGAGTACAAAGTAATTTGTGTGTTTCTGTTACAATAGGGTTAAAAATGAACTAGATTTAAGTTGTAAAGAGATCATATACATTATTACATTTCTCAGAAGTGTTGAGTTATTAAAAAAAAAAAATCAAACCCAGGCCATTTAGCAGCAAGCTGAAGAAAGCAGGTAAGTTGAAGCAGAGAGAAAATGTGTTCTTAAGAAACAACTCAGCATCTTCAACACAAAAGCCACTGCGGTTCAAACAGCCTATTACAAAAACCCCTGAGCGCAAAAGAACGCTTGTCCTCTTCAACTGCATCACTGCAACCGTTCCGATTTTGAAAATTTTAATAGCTCTATGGCTTTTTACCGTCTTAAAAGCGTTACAAGTTAACGTTCAAAAGGCATTCTTTGGGAGCCTAGATTCACATTGGAAACACCGTTATGAACAATTTTCTCGCACAATTTTTCTTACTTAGATACTTGGGATATCATTCCATTAGAGATGATCTTTGAATGATTTATGATTTTATTTGGTAAAAAGTTGATATATATTCTTAAAGGGCAACACTGCTGCATTCTTAGAGCTCGTCTAATTGCAGCTGACTGACAGGCAGCAGCAGCAGCAACTTAGAGATTTGGCTAGTCCGAAAAATGGCAGACCTGCACATGTAAATGCTTCTGTTTGATTAAACAATTCTATCTATAATCCAAAATGAGTTCCGAAGAACGGCCACTTTCCCAATTCAAGTCAAATACGTACTTTGTGTTAAAGATGTGATACCAGCGTGGCTTGAGTGCAGTTTGAAGCCAGTTCCTTTGCTGTTCAGATCCAGGCAAGGCTTATAATTCACAAAAGTATGTGCACGTACCACAATAACAAGAGGGCACACCAATTCGTAAACTTAGATAGCGGAAACTAAAACATGTTGCTGATATCCCTCAGAATCGAAAACTCTAAAGCCCAAGAACACCCAAATGCTTCTTCTGCAAAATCCTTTATGTTTCTGTATCATTTTTTTAATGAAAAAAATTCTTAAAGGAATTTAAACACGATTCTATTTATATCCTTTGAGCAGTCATACATACTGGTGGGGAGGCAGAGAGGTAATTTTAGAGCAACTATAGAAGTCTTGCACTCTGTTTCTCCAAGTGTAAGTGATTTTTAAGGAGAAGGAAATGTTGAGGAAGGGTTTTCCAGGAGTAAAGTGCACTGCTGCTGCAGTAGACAATCTTGCCACCGAACACATGTAACTAAACACTCATGGCAGGTGAGCACCAACAGAATTGTCACACTTGGCTGTGTGGAGCTAGAGTTCTTACCGAAACAGAATTGTTAGTGCTGCTATGACCATTAGCAGGGGACTGTCTGGAAGTGGAGGGGGAATCTCTCTGAAATAAGACACAAGGTTCATTAACACAGAACACCAGCACAGAAACAGATATTTACATCAACAGTTACCACCACAGTCTGACAACCATTTCCTTTCCGGTTAATGCTATAAAAGGTGCCGTACTAACTTACTTGCATGATTTCACAGAAGTATGAAAAAACTTTTGTGTAGTTTGAAGATTCCCATATCATAAGTGAGGATGGTGTTGTCATTCATTAATGATTTCTCCGGTATCAGAAATTCTATAATCTTTGTTTTTTTTTTTTAATTGGGACCTCAGGAGAGTGATATTAAAACCCTATCAAATACCTCATGATGATAAATATTATAATACTATTGTGCTAAAGATCTCAACTGCCTAGTTTTATATTAAAGAATAGGTAAAGAATGGGTTTGAGAAGCAGGCAATGGTTTTTAGGTACCTCACTGCCAAGAACTACCAAATGACTCCATTGAGAGTAAATGAACCTAAGAGAAAGAATTCACATGTAATCCATCACCTTAGACCTTTCTAGAATAAATATTACTAATGGGAGTAAAAGAGAAAGCTGCACCAGAGAACAACTCTCTTCCTTTGTATCACTTTAACGGACTGAGTAAAATAGTAACTCTAAATAACAATGTTCTCCTTCTGGCCAAACTCCCAGGAGCCACAGCACTGTCCCTAGAGCCACACTCCCAGATCTCTCTGCTCTTCAACCCACTCAGAATCCTTCGCAGGTCCCATTCCTTAGTGTCCAAGTCAACTTTAATGAAAAGAGCTAACTAAGAGAAGAAAATAAGTGCTTTAAATATTTAATTTTTAGAGTTCTTTATGAACTTCTGTTCAAAAGACATATTTTTTCTAGAATATTGAAAGAAAACTTCTGGAATTTGTTAGCCTGAAATAGAATGAGATCCTTTAGAGGACCATTCTCAAACATTAATGAGTGGCTTGAGCTCTGTTTGTCACCCTTGGGGATTCAAGTCAGTAGGGGAGGGTATGGGGAAAGTATGAGCCTTCATTTGAGAAGCCATAGCTAGGAAGAGGCCAAGCCCAGGTGGGTTAAAAAAATCCAACAACAACAACAGCAGTGCGTTTAAATGTTGGAAGTGAACAGAATAAGGGAAGGGAATCATTACTTTTTTCCTAATATTCAAAGGTATAGAATTTATATGTATAATACTTGTGTCTTCCTCAAACTAGCTCAACCACTTGAAAAAAAAGAAAAGAAACTTGTACAGTTAATAACTAACAATATCTTCTGGTTAGCACCGCCCCTCAATCTAATCTATTTATTCAATTTCTTCAACACATGAGAAATGGTGTGAGGAACATCTATGGTTTTAGAGTATTTAAATTATCTATACAAAAATGTATGCATGCTATTCTCTCTTTCCCTGAAAGGTTCATAAGGAACCAAATTTAATGCTCCGAATCTTGAAGCTGGAGAAGTTCTGCAAAGCTTTGAAATATATTATTAATTGACATTCCATAGGAAGCCACCAAGAGGAGCTCAAGACCCAACAAAATAGACACTTTAATTGTCACTGGCTCACTGCATCAAAAGCACAGATTCTTATACACATGTTGAATAGGCTTAGATGAAAAATATGAACCCTTTAATTGTTTTCTTGTGAAATTTGTAGCATCATTAGAGACTTGAAAAGTAATTTCTATTTCAAATTTTCTTAAGCATAAATCTAGCAACCAGCTCTTAAAAATTACCTTTAGAAAATGTACACTTCATATCTACTTATTTGCAGTGATAGGGCCTCACACATGCTAGGCAAGCATTCCACCACTGAGCTCTTGTACTTCATAATAACATACTTGGAAGATCCACAGGAAAAATTTTAAAATAAGCTTCAATAAATAAAACTTGAGCTGAATATTCTATAACCAAAGAATCATATTGTTATGATAATTTGTATCTACCAATATAGAAAGAATAGATTTTTGAGTATAACGAACAATATAAAACCAAAAAAAAAATATAAATTGGAAGAGCTCTCTCTAATTGCAAGAAGATAAATATGTTTTAAGAAACGTTGGGGCTATTATTCTACAAAAGGCATTTGTTTATGAGTCCTTTAACATTTCAAAGATGAAGACTTTTACAAAAGGTTGCAAAAGTCCACATCCCTGTAGTGAAGCCAGTTACCAAATCATCAGGGTCTTAATGCTCATCTTGAGGCCTGCCAGTCATTCAAACACCAATATCTCAACAGAAGTTGATCACTTCTCAGATTCTTGGAAAGAAGAACTACCTGTGAGATTTCCTAACAAGGGAAGTGAGTGGACTTCCTGGATACACTGCTGTATTTTTTGCCTCAGGGATTTCATTGTTTTTTCTTTAGCAAACTTTATGTTATTGTAGCATTTCTATATTTGGCTTAGATTTGGCTGTAGAAAGGCTGAAGATAGCTGCATAGAAGTGGGGCTGAGGAGGTGGGTGGGACCTCCTCTGTTCCGTTATCTTCGTTGTAAAATTGGTGTGCGGTGATCTAACAGCACAGGCAGAAACAATTTCCCAGAAAGCAAAAACATTCAGCCATCAGCAGACAGTTAGTTAAGAACTCAGAGAAGATGGGTGAGGCTTGTCAGAGTTATTACCTCACAGGATGAAGACTGAGTGCGGTAGCTTGGCACAATCTTGAAGGTAATACTCCCCCGCATTTCCCTCTGGGGGAAAAAAGAGGAGAGTTCTCATGCAAACACATATTGCACGCAAAAACACAGAAGAAACCATTCAAAACACGTGGGTGCAATTAGTACGCACCACCTGACAGCACACAGCACTAAAATAAAACCTCACTATGCTCAGGTTACTGGTAGAAGTTTCTGGGAAAGGTCCAGTGAAGTCAAGGCTGACTAGCCTACACCTAGCAGTGAATAACTGTATACATCTCTCTCTGATGGCTATGTTTTTGAATACAAAAGAGTCAAAATGGCATACCTTACAAAAGTGACTATACATTGAACCGAACAAGAGACTAAGTAATTACATAAAAATCCTAGTTAATATGCTACTCTCTGATGCTAGCTCCATAAAATTGCTTTTGTACTTTATTAATTTTGGCCTTCTTTTTTATTACAGCAAGCCTTGGATGCTTACTTCATGCCTAATAGGCATTCATTACATGGGAAGCTGCTGCACTGTAGCAGAAAGAAGGACCCAAGGCATAAAACAAACGTTTTCCTCTGTTTGCTACAACAAAGAACACAGATGGGGGTCTGTCAATGGATGTCAATGCTTTTAATTCAAGGCCTAATTTCAGTACAGATTTTTTTTTTAAGTATAGTCAATAATGGCCTGGCCTACAGTGACTTTCCTCCCCTTTGTGCTGTAGAGAGATATACTACAGCTGGCCATGACTCAGCTAAACAGGAAAGAGGTTCCTGATATTGCTTATATCAGGAGCCTTTTGAGGTCAGTGAGAAACTAGTTCACACGAGTACATATTGGGAAGGCTTTTCTGTAAATATCTGGTTGGCAAGAAACAGACAAAGAATGAACAGTGTGAAAGCCCATACTGCTAAAGGCAGGCAAAATGGTTCCAAACTCCACTGCAACTAAAATATTTTCCTAGTTGTCAGTTTTTAATGATCATTGCAGAAGTTCAACTCACATACATGATGGTACAAGAAGCATTCTGATGATGACTGAAGAATGATGTGTGTTTTTAAATATCTATTTATTCAGTGTGTGTGCCTGGTATAAGTGGGAATATGGTTGCTGTATCTGTGGTCGGTGTGTGTGCATGTGGGTATGTGAGTGCCAGCACCTGTGTGCATATGCTTGTGGGGGCCAAAAGAACATGTTGAGTACTCTGCTCTATCACTCTCCACCTTATTTCTTTGAGACAGGATCTCTCACTGAACCTGGAACTAGGGTGGTGGCTAGCAAGCCCCAGCTACCCTCATGTCTCCACCAGACACAATACTGGGGTTATAGGCAGGTGAGATCATGCCCTGCTTTTTACATGGGTGTGGCATCCAAACTCAGGTAAACCCACAAGTGCTTTTACCCACTGAGCCATCTCTCCATTCCCTATATTATGTACGTCTTACAAAGTAAGTTGATGGCGCTGTCAAGATGGCTCGGCAACAGGACCTAAACAATGAGAACACTGACAGACATGCTATCACGGAAGGGGGAAATCTCATGGGTGCTGGGGGATAGTCGATCAACTGTGCACTCCAAATTTGCATTTGCATTAATTAATTAACCTTGGGTCAGGAGGCTGAATTAGCAACTAGTTGACAGAAAGTAATCATAGAGCTTCAGAGGGCACCTGGAAGAGATAGAGAGATGCACCAGAAGTAGGGAGGGATTTGGAGTGGCATAGAGCTTTTTTGTTTGGCAGAGCAGAAGGACACTCTTTTTGGGAGACACCAGCAAGGAGAGAAGGTTAGCTAGGTGCTACTCAACCTCTCTGAGCTAGCAGGTTTTCACCCCAGCCTTTGAATCTATTTATAAACAGAATGATAGAGATTTAGTTAAAGCTACCTTTAGCTGCAGCGACAGAGCCCATGCCTGCGGGAACAAAATTCCCGACAGGCTGCAGCCTGAGCAGCTGGCCCACTGATAGAGAAGCAGGCCAGTAACTGTGGAGTCACAATTGCTGGCTGAAATATCAGTAGATTAAGCCTCAGTCACTGTGCTGAAGTTAAAATAAACAACACATGGAGCTCCACCCATAGACAAAGAACTATAGGCAACTGAGGGCTGCTGAGAGGGAGAATTAGTTATTTCCAGGGATGAGCCTCCCACTTGGTCATCCAATTCTAAGTGGTTAGCTCTGAAAGCATGTACATACATTAACATTTAATGGACTCAGCAGATTGTATTTATATATGTAAACATTTATACATGTATACTAACAAAGAAAAAGCGTCTATGAGTGAGAGGGATTGGGGGAATTGTCTATAGAAGGGGTTGGAGGGAGGAAATGGAAGGCAGGAAATGTTGTAATTATATTTTAATTAAAAACATAATAAATTAAAAAAGATGGCTCAGCATGTAAAGGCACTTGCCACAAAGCTTGATGACCTGAGTTCAATCCCTGGGGTCCACATGAAGGAAGCAGAGAACTAGTTCCTTCAAGTTGTCCTCTGAACTCCACATATGTAGAGGCATGTGTGCAACCACACTCACACACAAACACATAATAAATGAATGTCTCAAAAGATAAAAATCTAAGCTAATGAACTAAAAATTAATCTTAGAAAAGGGAAAACTTTCATTTACTTACAAGCATTTTTTGTAGCTGTTCAACTGTTTGGTTAGCGACACTGATGCCATTGATTTCTCGAATTTCATCACCAACATGAAGTGTACCTAAGAAATCACACACAATTATAACAAGTAAATGAGTATAATAAAAAATAAGTTATATATCTAAAAGCCAATGTGCTGTGGGATGTTCTGTATGTCAAATGTGTTGCTGATTAGTCAATAATTAAAACACTGATTGGCCATTGGCTAGGCAGGAAGTGTAGGCGGGACAAGGAGGAGAATAAAGCTGGGAAGTGGAAGGCTGAGTGAGAGAGACACTGCCAGCCGCCACGATGAGAAACAGCATGTGAAGATGCCGGTAAGCCACGAGCCATGTGGCAAGGTATAGATTTATGAAAATGGATTAATTTAAGCTGAAAGAACAGTTAGCAAGAAGCCTGCCATGGCCATACAGTTTGAAACCAATACAAGTCTCTATGTTTACTTGGTCGGGTCTGACGGCTGTGGGACTGGCAGGTGAGAGAGATTTGCCCTGACTGTGGGCCAGGCAGGAAAACTTAACCTACACCAATGTCTCAGAGACAGGGCCACATTTGGCTGCATCATTATTTAACTTTTTTTTTTTTTGTTTTTTTGTTTTTTCGAGACAGGGTTTCTCTGTGAAGCTTTGCGCCTTTCCTGGAACTCACTTGGTATCCCAGGCTGGCCTCGAACTCACAGAGATCCGCCTGGCTCTGCCTCCCAAGTGCTGGGATTAAAGGCGTGCACCACCACCGCCCGGCCATTATTTAACTTTTATGTAGTAAAACCATCCAAACAGATAAGATCTTTCAGAAAGCACAGTTTTGATGGCTGGTCACAGAAATTTGTTGACAACCCTATAAGATACTATCAGGTATGAGCAGAGAGAACTGAAAATAAGACAAATGACTAGTACTTCTAAAACAAAAACATAAATGATGATATAAGCTAATAAGTGGATAAGTTGAGTAAGAATTCAGACATGGCTGAGGAGAGTTTCAGTGAACTTGAAGATATAACAAAAGATTATGTATAATATAAGTCATAGAAATAAAGACATAAGAAAAACAGGAAACAAGAAATAAAGAATATATATAAAAAAAAGCTATGGAATATAGGAGTGTTTAATGTACATCTAACTGAAATTCAGAAAGAACAGAAAGAATGAAGAAGAGGCAACATTTGAGGAGTTGAACATTTCCTTGAACTGGTGAAAGTGTTACTATACAGATCCCGAAAAAATAACAGAGAAAGAAATCTGGGCCAGCAGAAAAAGGCTCCTGCCATCAAGTCTGACAATCTGAGTTCAATCCCTGGGACCCACACGGTGGAAAGAGAACTGACTCCCAGAAGCGGTCCTCTGACCTCTAAATGCATGCTGTGGCATGTGTATGTGTGAATGTTTGTGTGTGTGCATATGTGCATGTGTGAGCACACACACACAAAAGTAAATAAACATAATAAAGATATTGTTTAACTTGAATATATGTAAAGTTTAAAATTTCAAGGTAACCATTAACATCACAGAAATAGGGTGCAGAAATTAAAAGCTAATAATTAGGGGGTAATGAAACAAAAAAGTCACCAAAAAATGAACAAGGAAAGCAAGATAGTAGAATCATCACAACAAATATTAATAAACTACTATCAAAAAATAGTGATCTAAACTGGTCACAGTAGTGTACAACCTTAATCCCAGTGCTCAGGAGGTGGAGGCAGGAGGATTACAAGTTTAAAGTCACCCTTGGCTACCTAGTGAGTTTGTGGCCCATGTACCTAATTTATATAGTCAAATATGTAAGTCCAAAGAGAGATTTATATGTAGATAATGAAATACTCTACTACTATAAATGGATATTTAAATATTGGTAGGTCAAGCATACAAAAAATCAACACATAGAAGATTTAAACAAAAACATTAACAACACTAAGCCAATCATTATATAGGGAACTCTGTATGCAGCGGTTAAAAAATAAAGGTTCTTCATAAATACAGATTTATAAAAATGATTAAAGTGCTATGCCATTAGGAAAGTCTTAAAAACCTCCAAGAAATGGTGTGATACAGACCACGCTCTCTGACCACAACACAATTAAGTTAGCAGTAAATTACAGAAAGATGTCTAGAAAATCTCTTCAAATATGATAAATAAAAAATACTTCTGAATCACTTATGGGCCAATGAAAAATATAATAGGAATGTAAGAATACTGACAAATGAATTGTAACAAAAGGTTGCATATCAAAATTGGTGGGATACAGATAAAACAATACTTGTAGTTTTTATTTTACTTTATTTCTGGTGGTGGGGATGGAACTCAGAAACGTGGTCTACAATGACTGAAACTCAAAGACAAAACAGCTCTTTTATGTGAATTATAAAAACAAAACAGAACACTCCCCCTCATTTCTATCAGTAGAATCGGAAGAATTAAGAAAGGTGAAGAAAGAATTACAGATGGAACTCACCTTGCCTGTGAATCATACCCCCGTGCATGATTCTCGCAACAATACAATGATTTAGCTCATTCATTTTCAAAGTGATTCCCTGTAACAAAAAAAAAAAAAAAAAAGGAAAGAAAAAAGTTGGTAAGGGTACAACTTTTAAATGAAAGCACTATTTTATATTTGTGATTTTACTGTAGGTAATTTTAATTAGAAGAGTTATAAAATCATTAGAAAATATATAGAAGATGAAGATCTTCTATTACTTTACTCACAAAATTGTTCTATGATAGAAATGCTACTTGCTGGTGTTTTGACTGCTATAATACCATGCAAGCATTTTATACAGTGCTTTTTAATCTTTTAATTATGATTATTTTTCACATCCCTTTGTTTATTATGTTGCCAACTATTAAAAAAAGGTTTTTACTCCTGCTTAGTTCATATACTTTCTATTAGTATATCCCTTATATTTCTTCCACAAAATAATAGTTTTATTTTATAACCCACATAAAATATTGCAAACTGTAAAATTTGCTTAGTTTACCACACGCAAGTAAGTGTGGCTCTTTCACTACAATCAGATGGTAACTATGTCTTACCCCAGAGATTTCCTCTTATTTGTTGGTTATCTATTCCCATTGCTCTATGCTCTCTACTCATGCCCAAACAATCACTGATGGGCCTTTCCTGACTATAGGTAAATTTGTATCATCTAAAAAATGGAGCAACAGTCATTTTGGTTGCTTTCTTTAACTTATCATAATTCTTTTGAGAGTCTACCATTTTGTTATATTATCAATAACTTATTTTTGGTCCTTGTTGAACAGTCTTGCATTGTTTAGACACAAGAACGTGTTCATCCATCCCTCCACTGCACTGCTTTCAGTTTTGGCAGTTATAATAAAGCAATCCCTGGCTTAATCTCCATTTACTCGTAATTTTTTTTTTTTTTTAAGATTTGGGACATTTCATGTATTTGCGTATCACCTTTCTACAGACACCAGGATAACTTTTTCTGTGTTAATATTTTAGTATATACACTGCTGAAATGAGCATATATTAATGTTTTCATATTTTGTTAATTTGCTTTGCTAAAATTATGTTTAGAAGTTTTGCATCTATATTCATGAGAGATTCTAATCCTCACTTTTCTTGTAATGTTATTATCTGGTTTTATAGGGTAGCCCTGGCTTTATAGAATGAGTTGGGAAGAACTTCCTTTTCATTGTTTTGGGAAAAGTCCACGTAGAATTATGTGAGGCCTGTCTGGGGTGAAGAGACGTCTGTTTACATCCCCTCAGGAAACATGACTGCAATAGCCATGGAGTCATTGTTTTCATGACCGAGCTGATCCTCTGTTTGGTTGACGCTGTTGAGTTTGTTTCATAGTCCACTGACTGCTACCTTGTTTTCAGTACTGAGGATTGAATTCAGGGCCTCATGGATACTACACCAACACTTTACCACTGCGACATATTGCCATTTTCATTTGTTTCTATTGATTTTTATTACATATTCTACTTATCTTGGCTTTAATTTATTTTCACTGGTCTTTTTTTAACGGTGGAGATGTGAGACAAGGTTACTGAATTGAGACATTTTGTTAATATATATTTCTCCTTACTAAGTACTATTCCAGTCACATCACACAAAATCTGATACAGTGCAATTAATTTTCATTAACTGCAAAATGCTAATTACCTTCTGATTTCTTCTTGGGTTACTTCAAACTGTCTTACTTAGTTTTCAAGTGTTTGAGATATTTTCTTTCTTTTTAAAATTTTTTCTTTTCACTTTTTATTTGTTTTTGAGATATTCTTGCTGTGTAGCCCAGGCTGGCCTCAAATGCACAATCCTCCTGGCTCTGCCTCTTGAGCACTGGGATTATAGGTGTAATATTATACCCGGCTTCTATCTGTTATTAGTTTCCAACTTACCTTCATTATAGTCTGAGAATAAACTTTGATATTAATATAGCCACTTCAGCCTTCATCTGAATAGTGTTATACTGATATGGCTTTTCTATCCTTATTTTGAAACTATTTTTCTTTTTGTATTAAGTACATTTTTTGCAGGTAGCATGCGATGAATACTTTTTTTTTTAACCAATCTGACAGACAACCTTAGCTTTTTTCTTGTGGGGTTTCCAGACAGGGTTTCTCTGTGTAGCCCTGGCTGAGCTGGATCTTGCTCTGTAGACCAGGCTGGCCTCGAACTCACAGAGATCTGCCTGCCTCTGTCTCCTGAGTGTTGGGATTAAAGGCTTGCCAACCTCTGCTTTTTAACTGGAGAATTTAGACTATTAAGATTTAGCATGATTGTAACATAGTTTGGTATAAATATATCTTCCTGTGTTCCACTTCTTCTGTGTTCTCTTTGAACTTCTTTTTTCTGTGTTATTGTGGATTTATTCTCATTCTGCTGTATCTTGTAGTATTTTTTTGGCTTTGCTGACAGCCAACAAATCCTAGTGATGCTCCCCGTCCTTCATCTCCAGGGCTACAGTTACTAGCACATCTGATTGGACACGGGTGATGGCGATGCCGACTCAGCAAGCTCTCTCACCCACTGGGCCGTCTCTTCAGTCTCCCCCAGTCCCAGCTATCTGTAAGCCTTGGTGTTGCTGCTTTCACGGCTGGATTTGGCTTTATTATAGCATATGTATTTAACCTACCAACTTGTCTTCATTTATGAGAACTTTCTAACAGTGCACAGCCATTTCTTTCTACTTGACCTTTGTGGTACCCTTGTAATCCATTTTACATTCTTATACATCTCACGCAAAGTATCATTGAAAGAGATTTAAGAGAGAAGGAAAAAAAGTGATAGTCTTTTAGCTTTGCTGTGTCTACAGATATTTTATATTTGGCCCATTTTTGAAAGACACTTTTGTTGGTCCTCCTAGATTCTTAGCTCTGCCCCCTCAATCTAGGGACTCTGCCTGCTCTGCTTCAGAACTCCCTCCCCATGCGCTGGCCTGGAAACTCTCTAAAGGTAGTAAGGTAGGACAATTACAGGTGTTACTGTCTTTGCATCCTCTCTCTCAGAGAACTCTATTCTTTGTTGTTTGATGTCCAACTTCTCCAAAACCATTCTCACTTGTAATTTAATATTTGTCACAATTTCATCTGTTTCAGATGAGAGGGCCAGAAGCCCAAGTTTCATAGTTGTAGTTACAGCCATTTTCCATTTTATTTTTCAAACATTCCCTATTAAAAGACAAACTTCCATAAATATGTTTTTGCAGTAGACTTGGTCGATCCTAAGAATCACACAGGGAGCTGTTAAATAATGCTGACTCTTAAGCACACTCTTTAGATTTATATTCATGGGGACAGGAATGGAGCCCAGAATTATGTATATTTGAACAAGGTCACTTTATAGGATGGTGGTCTTGAATTTGAAGTGGTTAGAAGTAGGCATTCAATTTTGCCTCTTTGGAGAATAAAATTCTGTCATAAAGCTTCATGGAGTTATCTCGGAATTTATATTCTAAGTTTAATTTGAACCACGCCACAAATATATTTTTGCATGGTTCCTATTTTGAAGCTCTCAGAAGGATTAGGCAAGTACTGTTAAAAGAACAGTTTATCAAAATGATTGTGGTCCTAACATTCAATTGTAATGTTCAGGTTTCATTTCCAATTTGTACAGTCAGTATGTATGGTTACTTAAAGTAGTATTCTGGAAAATGTTATAAATGAATGCATACGTCAAACCAAGTTTCATAAGGGAAATGATGGCACAACAGAGATCTCACCCTTAAAACTAATAGGTTTCTATATTAACTCAACTAACATGAATGGGAACCTACTATGTTGTAGACCCTGCTAGGCACAGTAGTAAAGGAGAAGACAGCATCTTCATTGCTAGGGAAATTTACTTCAAACCAATTATAGTCAACATTTTTTATTCTGTCCCCCCCCCCGCTAAATTTCTCTGCAGAGAAGAACTGACTCATATTCTGTTCCCAAGATCACAAACTCCAGGGCAAGTGTTGGCTCAGCTTGGGATGGGTATGAACTTATCAAACTTGAGGAATTGGGGGTGTCATACATTCTTGGTCTTTCATTGCTTATACAAACAAGCTTTTCCCCTCTTGTGTAAGCTAGTTCAAGTATGGTATTTGTCATTTCTAACTACTGGAGTCCTAATCAATAGGGAAACAATTATGAGTAGAGCGTCACAAACTCGAAAAATACAGGGTATAAAGGAAGTGCATCACCCTTAGGGAATGCATGCATTATAGAGGGTCACCAGGCAGAAGAGGTCATGTAGATATACTCTTCAGAGTAATTCAGAGCTATAAAGAAGGCAAAAGAACAGGCAAACAGCCATAGTAACTGCAATACAGTTATATTCTATTATTGTTAATACATATTTTACATGAAATAATTCCTGTTTTCATGGCAGCCAGTGAAAATATATGCCATCACCAAGATCACAAGTGAGAACAGCCTTTTAAAGGAGACTTTAAGGAGTGATTGAAGGTCATTTTTGCTTTCTGAAAAAAAATAACTCAGAGATAGATGTGTGTTCTTTCCTCAGTTTGTGTAGTCAGCTCACATATAAAAGACAAACAGCTACCATTATCTTGCTTTGGACTGTATGATCACAAGATATTTTGGGACCTCCTTACGGTCCCTTACACCTTTCTGTCTGCTTTGCTTGGTTGGACATTACCCTTCCGCCTCTTCAGACAGTCTTTTCTTCTCTCTAGTTTTGTTGTAACTGGGCTTACCAAACTGTGCTCACCTGCAAATTTACCTCCTTAATGTGGACCACCTTGTGGAAGGAAAGTGAGCTCCAGGACTGGGCCATATCTTATCTGGCCCTATATCACAGCTTATCTAAGGCAGCGAATACATCCCATGGACTTTCAACATTTGCTCATTGGGTAAATCAAAGTATAAAATGAATGGATGAAATTTTTGACTTTCACGGTTTGGAGGGGCCTCAGGATCATTTAGTCAGTGTGCTTCTAGAAGTGAACAACCTGAGGTCCATGGATGTAACATAATATGTGCAAGGCCTCAAAAACTGTTGCTAGCCATGCTCTTAAGACCAAGGGTTGCTAAGCCTTGAGAGCAGCAGAGCAGGTACCTGATTTGCATGGCCCCTGTGTGCTGCCAGATAATGTTAGAACAATGAACAAGAGTACGAACAGAGAACTGAGGGCTCTCTGGAAATTGTGGTCACAGATCTGCTCTCCCTTCTTAAGCAGGTATTTTGCTTTTTCTAAGCTCTGAAGAAAAGGAAAATGCATATATTTGAATCCCTAGACATATGCTCCCATCTCTAAACTTGAAGGTTGCCCAGTGCCCCTCCTCACAATGTCGTTATCTCCTTCTGCATTCAGTCGTATGAGCCTGACGTGGCAGGGTCATCCTTGATTCTTGCTTCTTTCATTGCAACCCACTACTTGCCTTGCTGATTTACTTTCATTCACTCATATCTTTTTTGAGACAGAATCTCAAGTAGCCCAAGCTGGCTTTGAACTTGCTATTAAGTTGGTTCTCCCATCTCCCCAGTGCTGGGATTACAGGCATAGGTCACGATGCCTGGCTTTTTCATGTTTTCTCTCTTGATGTACATTCCACTAGTTCTGAGTATCATTATCTCCCCCCTGCACCATGGCAGTGTCTGCTTTGTTAACTAGTCTTTCTAGACTCTATACTACAGTCTCCAGATTGCTAGTTCTAAAATGAGAAACAAATCCAGCTCCCAGCTTAAAACCTTCAGTAGTTTTCTGCTGTTTTTAGGCTAAAGACATAGCATGTCTTTCAGTACTGTATGGCCCACCCTTGCTATGGGCCACGCTGTCTGCTGGCCAGCTGCAGTGCCTTGTTTCCATCTGGAAACCACAAAAGAGCCTTCTTACTACTGGAGTACATGCTCTTTGGTTTGCCTGAACTGTGTTACCCTAGGTCTCCATCCTTTTCATCTGCTCAGTGACCACCCCAGAGCCTTTCCTGATCATCTCAATCATTTCCTGAGAATGATTGGAGGGACACTATCAATTCTCTTCCAACTGCATGGCAAAATGAAAAAACAGGTTGATATGAATGGGAGGAAGCTTATTTTAGAACATTACTAAGGTCTCTGAATGTTTTCTGAATTATTTTTCTTCAAATTTTGGTGAAAGCAAAAGATTTGGAAAGTACTGGAATTTTTAATTAACTGATTTTTACAATGCGAATACTTCAAAATTGCCTCTTTCTTTGCTATATGAGAGATTTTTTTTTAAAAAATTCTTGAGTAATGTACCTCTTCTTGGAAAGAAGTAATTGTTCAGGAGAGGTGTGATGGCCAGCATATCTAAGCTCTGGTGTCAGGCAGATAACTCTTGGAGAAAAGGGCAGGGGAACTGAAGACCTGGAAACTGATTTGTTTAGAACCATCCATGTCCACCCTTCTTGCCTTCCTCCTCCGTACAGGGTGAAGTTGGCTGACTGTAACTCCAGTTTTTCCTACTTACCATCGGTTCATCTGTGTTCTTTTGGAACTGGACCAGCCGAACCCTGGTCACATTCTCCATGTCCATGTCTCCGTTAGCGCTTTCTGGAGAATCACCGTTTAAATAGGGAGAGGTCGGGGGAGGTGTGACCCTTAATGCTTCATCACTGTAAACTTCATGTGCCACTACGTCGTGAGTCTGAAGTAAGGCCTGGTGTTTTCATGAAAGAAGAAAATATTACTTAGAGTACCATTCGAGCAGAATTCTGCGACATAAACATATGTAATAATACTTCTTCTCAAAAGTATTTTTCGTCTAAAGTGACTCAAAACAAACTATACCTCTAAACTACCTCAATTCCTTTGTGGCAAATTATCATGATAAATGGATTTCTTTCTCAAAATAGAATGAGCAAGTAAGGGAGCAAACCAAGGAATGGATGGGCCTATCAATTACCAGGGTTAGAGGTGTCATCTAGTGTTAGGCTAAAAAACCGCATCTAACTCACATGTCCAAATAAAAGCTGAAATAATTTTATTATTTTAAATGTTAAATAATTTAGCAGAAAGAACGTTTATAAAAAGAACCAGCAAATCTGCACTGGGGCTTTAAACGGAAATAAATTATAATGATGACTGTACTGAATAAATAGCTTCTGTGATATGAACGAAATGATAAAATTAGTATCGCTTACTAGGAGGTTGGCAATGGAAATGAGGGAGAAGAACGGAGCGAGGAGGACCCATAAGCTTCAGGTTCTTACAATTATACAGTGACATAAATGGTGTCTACCAAGGATGAAGATAATTTAGAACATGACTTAGGAAATACAATTAAATTATATAGATGCACTTAAGACACCAATTTTCTAAAATATCGGACATATAGAACTCAAAATTGAAAGTTTAAATTTTTTTACATTTATTTATCTATTTGCATATGTATGTACACACATGTGTGAGTACACACGTGTGCTATGGTGTTCGTGTGGAGGTTAGAGGACAACCTGTGGAGTAGTTCTCTACTTCTATCATGTGAGTCCTAGGGACTGAACTCAAGTTCTTAGGTTTGGTGAGAAGTGCCTTTACTTGATGAGTCATGTCTCAAAATGGAAACATTCAAAATGTTTTACTCATTTTTCTTTTTTGGAGCTCTTGGATAAACCGGACAATTATTCTCTTTTATTTTTTTTGGAGAGAGGGTCTTATGTATTCCAGGTCAGCCTTGAATTCACTACCTAGGAAAGGATGACCTTGACCTTCTGTTTCTATCTCCCAAGTTCCAGAATTATAGGGGTACATCACCATACTCGGTTCATGTAGTGCTGGGGATGTGACCCAGGGCTTTGTGAATTCTAGACAAGTACTCTACCAACTGAGCTACACCCCTACCCCTAAGTTAAAAATGATTACTTATTCATTTTGCAAAACTCACTAACAAAGAAAAATGATTTCTTTATCCCGACATCTGTATGTCATCTTGGTAAACTTTGATAATAAATCTCTTGTTTCTCTAAAAAAGGATATCTTCCTGCTTTGTCCCATCATAAACCCTTTTTAATAAGCATGAGAAATTTTAGCTCAAAGAGAATTTACAACTGACTATTGTTGGTCTGTTTGAAACTTTATACAGATATACTAATTATGTATATATATATGTATATATATGTATATATATGTATATATATAATTAGTGTGTGTATGCTAACTCTAAATTTACTTTCATTTTCATCTGTAACATGTGTGGTAATGAGATATGTGAAGATAATGAAATGCAATTCAACAGTATTTCAGCATCTGAAATGACTTCCTAAAAGGCTATTTACTTCCTAAAAGAGCTATATTTCCAAGTCCTGCATACAAGGCAAAAATAAGGTAATGCTGTGTTCAAAGCAGTAAGGAGATGGTGCTGGCTTGTCATCAGTAGGTGCTCAGAGTAATCCATTTATTCTGTTTCTAGTGGAATAAAGCCCAGGCCGCTGTTCTCCACTGCAGCTTTAGGCGAGGGTCACTGAAGGCCACTGACAATGCACAGCTTTAAAGTAGAGCTCCTCAGGGGCCCTGGGAACCAGAGCTAGCAAGTGTGGAGGTTGGACCACATGGGCAAATTCTTCTTTCTGTGCTTTAAAAAGAAGCTAAGATTTAGAGTAGAAAGGCCAAATCAGGAATGGGCTAACTAGAGAAATTCATCTGTTAAGATCAGGCTCATCATATCAAGTAGAGAGATATCTTTTATGACTCAGGATACTTTGGTAGATACAGGCAAGCTTTCATGGGGATGAGATCTGCCTTAAAGTCCCATGAATTGGATAAAATGTTTATGCTGCTTTTTGTAGATTATTTCTATTCATCCTTTAAAGTTATATAAACAGGCGCTTGCATTTAATGTATTATTTATAAGGAAAAATAAGCCCTCAATCATAAAGCAGTATCACACTGAATTTTTAAAAAAGTTTAAATTATGTTGTCAAATAAGGTCACACTTGATATTAACCAGAATTTGCAGCTGTTAATGACTGCTGGCACAAAATAAGACTAAGTCCCCAGCTCTAATTCATATGCAAACAGAAAAGGGAAACATGTACGGAATGTTTAAAATAAGGTTAAAAAAGCATATAGAAGATAAAAATAAGGAAACTGAAGTTTTACTATTTCCTTTAAGTGTCTTATAGGGTATGATTGAGCAATCAGTACTAGGCTGAAATAGCTGCAGTTTGTTTGTTTGTTTCTAGACACAGTCTTGCTACGTAAACAGGTTGGCCTAGAATCCGCATCCCTCCTGTCTTGGCATCCTGAGTGCTAGACAGCAGGTTTGGGCTGCCATATGGAGCGTAAATTGATCTTACATTCGTTTATTCATTTTCTGTGTGTGCACATGTGTTCACACCCATGAATATGCTTGCCATGGCACATGTGTGGAGGTCAGAGGACAGCTTGCAGGAGCTGCTTCTCTCCTTTCACCATGTGGCTTCCAGGAATCGAACCCAGGTGGTCAGACTTTACCTGTTAGGCCATCTCACGGGCTCCCTTTCTTTTCTCTCCTTTAAGTTATTGCAGATATTTTCAAAGTGTCTGTGTTTTAAATACTTGGTAACTAAAAGTTAAATGCTCTGGTTATAGTGATTAGAAAGCAAAGCAAAGTCCAGATAATTGAGCAAATTAAGTATAAAATATCAAATATGCAAAGAACAACACTGGAACTTTGGTAAAACAAAAGTATTACATTTATTAAAATATTTCCACATAGATGTTGTTATTTTTAAAGCCCAAGGTTTTAAAAATCATTATTAAAACATGTATAAGACAAAAAACTTTAGTACTTAAAAGTTTATTTAATATATATTTTAGAATTTTATTTCTTACAAGGGACATTATCCATGTGTATGCTTATTCAAGAATTACCAATAAGCATAATGTAAGCTTACAGGGAAATTCATTACTATTACAAACAGTCTACTTTTCAAGACTCTGGGCTTTGGAGCCAGTGAGATCTGGCTTGAACCTTAGGGAGGCCATTTTCTAGGTGGGTAACTTTAAACAAGTGTCTACTTCACAGGGCAATTTCTACTAACGAGAATAGTCACACAACTTTACATCCCGGTTATGAGCAAGTCCTGTTGTTCCCTACCATCTCCAACACGAAATCTCAACCTGCCCATCTGCCACCGGCCTCATCTTTCTCTAAGCCTCCATCACTTCTTTCCATGCCTTCTATAATTGGCCTCTCTCCTACCGGCCATTTTCAACATGTGAGCTCCAGAATTTTCCACCCCTTCCTTTGAGACAGGATCTTACTCCCTAGCCCTGGCTGGCCTGCTACTCACTATATACCTCAGGGTGGACTCAGACTTGTGGCATTTCTCCTACTTCAGCCTATCAAGTGCTGGGATGACAGGAATGTGCTACTATGCCCAGGAACAACCTTGAAAGCATGGATTGGATCGTATTTTCTTGCTTGCAACCACTCAGTGCAACCAGTACTTTAACCAGAAGAAAACCCTAGACGCTTTACTATGGTCTGGGAGAGCTTTACTTGGTCTAGCCTCTGGCAAGCTCTGTAAGCATTTCTGTAGCACTTTCTTCCCTTTTATGAAATCCCATCTTTAATGGACTTAGTTGTCTCCTTGAACCCACACAACTTCCTTCTGCTTCTTCCTGTTTGAATGTTCAGGGGGCCAGCTCTTCCTGTACCGAGGCTCAGCTGAGCTGACTCTTCAGCAGGGCTTCCCCTGAGGATATAAAATAGCTCCCCCTTACTACTGCCACCGTACTAAATCTCTGCTTCCTAGTTATTATCACTGTACGAAATGGCCGTGTTGTTTCATGTGTTCGGTCTGTTTCTAATCATCTACCCACCCCCATCCTGCAGCCTCACTGGAATGGGAAATTCCAGGAGGGCTGGAACTGTTTTTCCTATTCACGACTAGATTCCTAGTGGCTAGCATAGTATACCTGGAGCACAGGAAGTGCTTAGATATTTGATAAATGAATAAAGATATCTTTAAAGCACTGAGCTAGGTATTCAAAGAATTTGAGGAATTATTATTTCTGAAAATGTTTACTGATAGGGATAGGGAGACACACACACACACACACACATACACACACACCACATTCTCTCTAAGTTTAGAAATGCAAAATAAATCAAGGCTTAGAGGGTAGATAAGCTGTGAGGAACTGACCTGTATGAGCTTTAATGATTTCTGGAAAAAAACCTTATCCTGTAAAAAGGGCATAATTGGGTATATGCTAATTTATTTATTTAGTCTCCTTCAAACCCGAAAGCCTTACTAGTCTGAAACGGTCCTATATAGTTCTATGAAATGAGCTCAGGTTATACAGCAATTTATAGTCAGATCTGTTAGCAAATGTGGGGAATAAACTGCACAGAGCAGCGAGTGGAGAGGTGAACCTACTTGCAAACGGGCCAGTTACTATTGTGCTCAGTGTTTTACTGAGAGCTTACAATGTGGGCTCTGTACACAGGCAGATGACAGGCACTGTGACGTAACTAATCATCCCTATTAGCTAACACTGATGAGGCATTAAACATACATCAGGCAGAAAGCAGGCTAAGTACAGGAGACATCCATTTAGTTCTTACTCCAACTAAAAGAGGTTGAGCTCGAGATCACAGACCTAGTTCACAGCAGCCAGGATGGAGTTTAACCTCACGTCTGCCTGAATTTAGAGCTTTAATTACACTTAACCTATAGAAGACATGATGTCTGAAGAGGAAAGAATTGTAATCTGGGGAAACATGGCCCCCATATATGCAGTATCAGTGAACAAGATAATAACTCCTTTTGTGATTGTTCAAATGTGAGGACACTAATAGGGCATGGAATCTTTTTATTTTCCTGGTTTGGTATATAGAGGACAACAATGATTAAATGAGATCACAAGTTCACAAAGCTAAGCTGAGATTTGGACAGACATAGGAGAACTGCCCAGGCCCATTCTCCAGGGACAGGGCCTGCGTCAGCAGGTCAGTGTGTATTAGAATGCCACACACAGGAATAGAAAGTGGAAAATAGAGAAGAGAGGTTAACATAGATTTAGAGTAATTAGGAATGACTTCGATAGCAAAGGTGGGATTCAAACTGAGTTCTACAATGACACATTTCAGCTGTAAAAAAAAGTAAGCTCGTCCAGATACAGAACGGTATTGCTAATTCTCTACAATTAGATGGAATGGAGTTAAACACTCTCAGAGATGTGTTTGAATTCAGCCATTAAAGCTTAGAAAAATTAGGGAGGGGATACAGGAAACTGCGTCCTACAAGATGGTTACTTTGAAGGACAATGTTAAAGTTTTAGGAACATTACATGTGAAATAGCATGTATATAAAAACTCACAGGTATGATATGATACATGTTATATTGTAACTATTATTTTTAAACTAGCATTTAAAATAAATAGTTGTAGTAAAAAAAAAAAAGGTTTTAAAGTCATATTTTCACCCAGAGGGCAGTTGGCTGGATTTTCAATTCTTTGTATATATTCCATATCTACAGCTGTGACTGTTTAAAAATGTTATATTCAGCATGAATTACCATCTGTAATTGTGCTGTTTTTTTATGTGCCTATGTGTATACACCTTTGTGCAGATGACCTTGGAGGTCAGAAGATGTCAGATCTCCTGAAGCTGGAGTTACAACAGTTATGAGTCTCCTAATGTGGGTGCTGAGAACTGAACTTGGGTCCTATGGAAGAGCACTCTCAACCACAGAACCATTTTGCCAATCCCTGTAATTCTACTTTTCAATTGCAGATAAGTAGACAGCTATAAACTTTTCTCAACAAAAAAAGTTTCTTAGCTATTTCAAATTTTAATAACTGGCTAATGCAAGTGCTATTCCTATTTTTCATAGAAACCAATGAAAAACGTGCAGGAGTTCTGCACTGTCTAAAACAAAGACACCTTGAGTTTAATTCCTGGAACCATGTGGTGGAAGGAAGACCTCTTCAACTTGTTCTCTGACCTCCATGCATGCATCATGGGGCATGTGCCGCCCTCAATAAATACAAGGCAAAACCCAAAGCCAGTCTTTCATTAAAAATTGCCCTCAATTATAGCTCTCTGTGGTTTAGGTAGCATAGAGTTCCGGCGAGTGTTGCAAGAACTATACGGAAGCAGATCCTCATTTGAGGTACACATAGTTCTTGAAGAATCACCTTTACAACTATGACACAAAACAATAAATCAACCAAAACAATAAAATCAAAATACTGGTTACTATCTGGGATTATAATCTTAGTCTGCTACTATGGTCAGGAACCACAAAATGATATTTCAGTCAATGATATACTACATATACAAGATTATATTGAAGCTGAAAAATTCCTAGTGCCTAGTGACTTCATGGCATAATGCCTACTTACATGGTTGCGGTAGTGATGCTGGTGTAAACCAAACGACTGCCTAGTCAGTCAGATGAAAGCATAATATATACGATTATCCATGGAACATCAGACTGGCGAGCCATGACGTTACTGGCTTATTTACTGTGTTATACTTTTTATCATTATTGTACAGCGTGTTTCTTCTAGTTAGAAAAACGTTTAATTATGGTAGCACTTATAATCTTTGCATTTAGGAGGCCAAGGCATGAGGATCCTGAGTTTGAGGCTAGTCTGGGTTGCTTAGTGCAAAACTAGGTCAAACATAAGTCAAGACCAAAATGAAAACAAAGAAACAACACATTTACTGTAAAAATTCATGTTGCGTATCCTAATGCTAGTGCCACGTGCTTGTGCTTACTGTGTCTCTTGATTTCATCATCTCTCTTGTGCTTGTTAAATTTCACCTTGTTCTGCTCACTATGATTCTAAGCGCCTCCTAGGACTATGCCCTACACATGGACTGTGGAGCCTGGTGTACACTAGTAGCCCAGATCACCTGGGCTCTTTAAGGGCACTCGGTGATATGCTTACAATGACAAAATTGTCTAATGACATATTCCTCAGAATTTATCTCCACAGTAGGTGACATGACTGTACAAGGATAAAGTATTTTATGAAGGTTACTAAAAACTTCTTGTGAAAGTATGGTTTAGGTCTAATGATGTGTTACTTACCATGAAATGAGGTTGTGTTAAAATGCGTTTTAGTTCCTTTGCGTCATTATTCTCAGGGTAACATGAAATTTCTTCCAATACCTAGAAAAACAAGATACATACTAGTGAAAAATGACATGAGATTTACAAAGCATGGAACTCTTTTAAATTAAAATCCATGAGTGGGTTTTTGTGGTGGGAAAGACAATTACTTTAAAAACATTTGTTGAGTTCAAAGGTTATTAAAATATGAGAATAATATTGATATAAGTAAAATGAAACAAATGCAATAATAGTTTGCCTTCAATACCCAGTTATGACCTAAAGGTAACGAAAAACTAAAAAGCAAAATGGGAAGTTTGTAACACATATTTATTACAGGTTTAAGAAACCTAAGTAGCTTAAGGAGAAAATTCAAATTTACCCCCCAAATCAATTCCTATTGAAAGTTAATAACAGCCTTTAAAATTGAACAGCACTGCTAGTTCCTTAAAAAGATGACCAGAGGTTCAACGGGAACAATACATAAAAGAACGCTGATTAAGCAGGCTAATTAATTAGGAATACACTTCATCTCCTTGCAGCCAGGTGGGAGGAATGCTGGTCTCCATGCTTATCTTCCACCACAGAGAGAGAAGACGGTGCTTCTGCCGATGGCTGGCTGCTCGGACAAATTCCAGCAGACCCAAGACCAGCTTTGAAAGTTCAAACACCCTCAGTAGTTTTTCTTCTGCACTCAACCTTGCCTCACCAGTCAGGCATTGACAGTTTGCTTGCATTGGTGAAAATGCTGTTGAAAGGGTCTCCCTCTCCCCAGGAACGGAGTTTATCTGTTCACCTTAGTCCAGGGCTAGCAGCCGTGCCACAGCCGAGCCTCCGTTTTCTGAGCAGGCCCCTGTTACTGCTCTATCTGCTGATGGCTGCTCCAGGGACCTCCACATGGCACTCAACTGAATCCTAATCATGGAGCCAATCCAGGCTGCCTCAGCACCACTGGTGTAAGGGGTACATAGCCCTTCGCCATAGGACTCTCCTGCCTCAGCCTGCAAGAACTCCAGGAAGGGGTTCACTTGGCCCGAGTCTCAGGTTTCAGCACCCCACCACTCACACTCCTACTGGTGTCTCTTATTCAAACACCCTGCTAATGATTGCTGGTTATACAGCTAACTCCTCCTGCCCAATGAAATTCAAGTGGTTCTCCTTGGTGTCTCTTATTCAAACACCCTGCTAATGATTGCTGGTTATACAGCTAACTCCTCCTGCCCAATGAAATTCAAGTGGTTCTCCTTGGTGTCTCTTATTCAAACACCCTGCTAATGATTGCTGGTTATACAGCTAACTCCTCCTGCCCAATGAAATTCAAGTAGATCTCCTTGGTGTATTTCTGCTTCTCTTCCAGGAAATAACTAGCAAGGGGGAAAGCACAAACTTTGTTTCCCTTGCTGCTTTCACGGCCTATGATCTTAAGTACAGAGGTGTGATCTCCTAAGCTAGGGGAAATTCTTCAAGTGTATAATTAGGACAAAGGATTGTCCCCAGACTGTCTCTACTTCTGTCTCTTTGGGTATTGATAAGATTGGGCAGTGACTCATGATTCCTGCCTGAAGTGTAATTCCTTTCAGAGAACAAAAGAATGATTGCTGGGCAAATTAAGACAGCTTTCTCCTTACCCTATTCTCACCAAGTGAGCAAGCATGGCAGCCACCATGGTCTAATTTCTTAGTGAGTATGTAAGCATATACTATATACATATATAAAAAAATGTATGCATGTATGTATATCCACATATCTATACACACACATATACATATACATGTATGTATGTATGTATATATATATCAAAAGTCATGTTTCACATCTGCTAGGAAGCTGGCTGTGGTGGCACATACCTGTCATCCCAACAATGGACTATATGGTGAGATCCTGTCTCCACAAAACAAAACCCAGAACAAAATGTGCTAAAAATGGATTATGTCTTCAATGCTCTTTCATTTAGTAATCATACTTTGTAAGAAGTATTTTTAAAAGGAAATGTTTATTTGCATAAAAACTTTAAAAGATCAAACAGTAAAAAAAAAGGTATTTACTAATGGGGTAATTTCTACATCATTCTAGTAGTAAGAAAAAAATTACACAGTCATTGTATTATACCCATAAAGATCAACTAGAGGCATAAAATGTTTATTTCATAGTGTTAGGCCCAAACCAACATATTTTGGTTGGTAATACATAAAATTCTATATGCAAATGAAAAAGATACAAAAAACGGAAACTACTGTGTTAAGGGTGATGGGATTCTGGGTGAATTTGGTTTTCCAAGCTTTCTGCAAAGCCATGCTCCTATAACAAGCAAGTATGGAAAAAGCTTGTGGCAAATACTTTTATGCATTGATGATGCATAAAAATGACTTCTTTGAATTCTGATATTTAATTGTTATACAAAAGTCAATTAACCTCCACATAATACCACATTAAAAAAGCAACTCAGATTTTTAAAGCATGTCTATTTCTACCAGGTGCAGTAAAATAACATTAAAACAAGAAAAGACTATATTAATATGTTCATTTACACAGCAAAACCAGAAGGAGAAATCTGGGAACTGCTGTTGCTGAGACTTTTTTCTTCTCCAGGTGGATGTTCAATGATAAATTCAGCAATCTCAATCTGAGTATGAGTCAAACTGCGATCCTAAAAAGCGTGCCTCTTAACATGCAGCAAAACATCTTCAGTAAAGGTAGCAAATGTGACGATGCTGAACACTTTGAGAAAAAGATGTCACTTACCTCTTTGGCTCTCTGTACTGCATCGCTTGGAGGATTCCTGATTTGTGGTGAAGACTTTGTGTTAATTTTGTCATAGAGCTAAAAAGCAAAGGAGAAAATCCAATCAACACTCAGGATGTTTTGCTACAGTTTACGGCTTTCTGTTTCAACAAACAATATTTTCCTCTTAAAAAGTCAGGGAGATGATGTCAGTGGGTCTTCTTTGGAAATGTTCATCATTCACGGGAACTTGTCAGAATATGAGTTTCATGTATATCTTGTAAAGTAAATACTTTTGAAGAGAGGAACCAAAATTCTATCCTTAGCAATTCACACTTGTCAATATAGCAGCAATCTGAGTGTTTCCCTCCAGACAGAAGCAACATTCACTAACGTGAGTATGCAGTAAAATGAAAGAACCGTTTCTGGCCAAGAAGAGTCTAAAGAATTTTCACAGAAACCTAGATCTTGGGAAAGGGCAAACCCAACTCCTTCTACGAAGGAATGTTCTCACAGGAGTTTTTGCTTGTCTTACTAGGGATGTTCATTGTCAGAATCAGTGCTGGAGCCCTCAGCAGGGAGTCAAGGACAGAAACTTGGTCTCTTTTGACTTTGCGAATTCAGAATGTAAAAAACGTCTAAATAAAGTTATACCCTCCCCCGACAAACATGAAAGATTCAAGCATCAACTTGCTAAAAAACATTAATTTAATTCATCAGAGAAAATACTCTGCAGTTTATTAGTGCAATTAAAATGCTAGTTCTACTTCAAATGGAATGGTCCACAGTCAATAGTGTGCTTTGAAAAGTACAAAGTTAAAAGTGACCTTGGCTAGTCTGATGGTGTCTATTTCCTAACTTCTCTAAAACATTAATTAAGAAAGTACTACTTAATTGAAGACTGAATGAATAGTTTAAGCAGAAAAGTAAAATGCTACTCTACTTAAAATATTTTAGGGTACTGGTAGTATGATGTTTGGCCAAATCCTTGGGAGAATATATATGGATGATCTCTGTCTTCTTAAAGTTTACATCTCTAGTGATTGCCAACAAAATTTGGAATAGAAAATGTACTTTTTTATAGAAATATGTCTAGGCAGGGTCTCATTATGTAGCCCTGGCTGGCCTGGAACTCACCATGTAGACCAGGCTGGCCTCTTGCTTGTAGATATACACTTGTCTTCAAACTCAGAGAGTTCTGTCTGCCTCTCCCTCCTGAGTATTAGGATTAAAAGTGTGTACCACGATGCCCAGCGTACAGAAATAATGCAGTGATTAACTTCCTAGACTAACTTATGAAAAGAAATGAAATACTTCATATATAAAATATTAAGAAGGAAACCTCAAACAAAGTGAATGTCACCCACTTCAAAAAAACCAAAACAAAAAAGAAACCATCATTTAGGAATATTTAAATACATTACAATTGCAAGATGAATAAATCCTATAACATTGTGTCTGTAGCTAATAGACTTAAATTTTTATTGATAGTGAATACCATGTTGTATTCTTAGCAAAATAAAACAATACATAACATTTAAAAAAGACAGTGGGCCTGAGAGATGGCTCATTATATAAAGACACCTTCAGCCAAGCATGCCAACATGAACTCAGTTCCCCCAGGACTCACATGGTGGAAGGAGAGGACCAACTCTTGAAGGCTGTCCTCTGAAATCCACATGAGCACATTCCCATTAACCCCCAAAACAAAATACAATTAAAAAAGATTAAAAAAAATACATTTAGTGGTTCTGGGAGTGGTGGTATTCACTTTTAATCCTAGCATTCCAGAGGCAGAGGCAGGTGATCTATGTGAGTTTTAGACCAGCCTGGTTTACAGAGTGAATTCCAGGACAGTCGGAGCTACATGAGAGACTCTGTCTCAAAAACCAAAACAACAGCAGCAGCAGCAATAACCACCATCACCACCATTTAGTGGGCCAGCAAAATGGCTTAGTGGGCAAAGGTGCTTACCATCAAGCCTGATGGTTTGAATTCATTCCGTAGAACCCACATGGTGGGAGGAGAGAACAGACTCCTAGAAGTTGTTCTCTAACCTTCACACATGTACTGTGGCATGTGTGCATGTACACACACACACACACACACACACACACACACACACACTAGAAGTGTAACTTTAAAAAGAGGCTTAGTTATCCCTAATGTCAAAGTATTAATAACTAAAGTTTATAGAACTTAGATGAATAATAATAATAACAGTAAGAGCTCAAGGCCATTTAAAAGAATAGCAAATTTAATTCAAGGCTTTTTAGGCTGATTGCACTATCACTTTACACTGTTTACACTGCTAATTCTTTACCTAAAAAAGCTTTACCTTTTTGTAACCAAAGACTATTGCTAACGCTACTTCCATCACTTTCAAATATGATTAGTATTGCTTTCTATTTACACAATTAATAAGTGCGTATCAACTTTCACTCACAGAGCAACAAACACTCACTCTTCCAAATTTCTGAACCTGGAGACTTGATTTTTAACCTGGTCTTACTATCCAAGTATAGTCTGCCAGTGTAGTTTTTATAAAAAAGTTTTAGCGCTAGGCATAGTACTCGGGGCTTTGACTTTAACATCTAAGAACTACATGTCAGTATACTGTCTTGAAGACTTTTATCTGGTGCCTACGAGACATTCTTGAGCCTCACTCTAGACCTACTAGAGGTGCTTTCATCTGTTCTGTGGGTTTTTAGAAGTCTCTATCCAGTACTAACTCCACGAGACGGAGCCCATACCCGACACTGCTTGGGTGACTGAGAACCTGAGACTAGATAGTCCAGGGACCTACAGTAAAAGCAAACACCACTGTTCTAAAAAAAGAGGAGTAATAAAATGACTCCTAATGACATTCTGTAATGTTCATAGATCAGTGCCTTGCTCAGCCATCTCAGCAGAGAAGCTTTTTCCTGTAGCAGGGGGGAACATATACTGAGACCCATAGCCAGGCAATAATGCAGCCCTAAAAGAGATGCCTCCATCAAATATTTCCTTTCAGGGCTCAGAGAACAGTGTGGAAGGGGAGGCAGAAAGAGTGGAAGAGGCAGAGGGGATGGAGGACAGCAAGGAAACAAGGCCCTCTACATCAACAGACTGATGTACAGATGAAGTCACAGAGACGGAGACAGCATGCACAGGGCCGCACAGGGCTGCACCAGATGGGTCCTAGAGCTGAAAAGAGAAGTGGACGCATGCCCCATCCCTAACCCGGAAGCTGTCTCCGATTGATAACCACTTGTGAGTGAAAATTTGCTTTTCTCCAAGGGAGTCTCACTGGGGAAACAAACTACTCTTAAGGGTAGACTGCATGTCCAGCAGTAGGTGGCCAACAGAAAATGAACTCAATGACATCTTTGGAGGTTCCTTGTCTCATAATGCCATGTCAGGAAGATCAGATTCCTTATTCTGGTGTATACATAAAACACATGAATAAATAAAACTCTTCAGTTCTCAAGCAATTCAGATAAGAGATAATGTATATTACTAGGAATAATGATGACTGCTTCTTTTATTGAGCGTTTACTAGATGCTAACTACTAGTCAAAGATCTTAATATACATGCACCCACTTAACCTCAGCTAATTTTGCAAGGCTGGTGCCTCTGTAAATGTTAGTTATAAAATGTTATTCCCAATTTACAGATGAGGAAAACAGACAACAGTGAAGTAAGAACCACAGTTTTAGCTTTAGGATGACTTCATGGGTGGCATGCAGGTGCCTGGAGTCTCATCACTTTCATGGCCATATTGTAAGGAAGGTGCTCAGATAAAACTCCTCTGTGCCTTTGGTATGGCCTGAAACATGCATGCACGCATGCATGCACACATACACATGCTCTAGAACTCCAAACTAAGGCCAATAGGCAGTCTGTGGCCTCTAGGGTACTAGGAAGCTGCCAGTGCTGGTGCAGGGCTTGGTGAGCAGCAGTCAGCGTTCCTTCCACACTTGGCCCAGGCCTTATTCTGCCTACAGAAGCAGAAGCAGGGCATGTGTAGGAGACATAGGAGAGAACATATTTGATTTCCCTTCCCCTCCTTCTTGTCCTTTTCCCCATGTAAAGTGAAGGGTATGGGGACCCTCCAGAAAAGCTTACACAGGAACTGGAAGTGGCGACTAGAGCTCTTTGCATTGGTCTCTGGCTAGGGCTTGCCGAGCTGCAGCAACTTACTGGCCCACATTGGTGCACTAGGAAGGTAGCTTTGTTCAGAGAATCCTTGGAAAGACTCAACATGTGATATTTTAGGTCTTAAGTGAAAAGTGACAAGTGTTTGCTTCTTTTATGCCTCACCTGGGGTGCCCCCCCAGGACATATTAAGGAAAGAATGTGTGCTTCCTATGAGTTAAAGAAACATCTCAGAGGGTAACCTGCCCAAGGCTATTCTGATGGAGTCCTGTCCAAGAGGACTGCCTGCATAGAGCAAGAAGACCCAGAAACAGGATATGGGTAACACCACGGGCAGGAGACAAGAGTGTGCTGCTGAGGCTAGCTGCAGGCTGTGCCAACAGGGCTAAAGCTGCACATTTGTAACCCAGGACAGCGCCAACACTGGGATGCCTGCCACATTCAAGGGCATCAACAACCGAAAAGGAAGTGGCCGTCTGATGTTCGTGATATTAGAACATGCTGTGTAAGGGCTTCTTTCTCTTCTCCTTGACCCTCGAGTTCTCCAATATAAGACAGCAGCACATACTGTTTCCTCAAAAATGAAAAATTTGAACTTGTACATAGAAATTATAAATATATATTTGTAAAAAAATGTTGAGTACCACAAAAAAAAAAAAAAAAACGCAGCAGGAATACTTATTTTAGCTGGTCTCTTTAGGAACTAGATACAATTTCTATTTGATCCTGCTTGCACATTAAAACTTTTCCCCTTGAAATTAAGCACATTTTGATCATATTTAATTCTTTTTTGGATCTTTCATGCCTGCCTTACTTATTTTTTTTTTTTTTTTTTTTTTTTTTTTTTTTTTTTTTTTGGTTTTTCGAGACAGGGTTTCTCTGTGTAGCTTTGCGCCTTTCCTGGGACTCACTTGGTAGCCCAGGCTGGCCTCGAACTCACAGAGATCCGCCTGGCTCTGCC